GACCCGTACAGGGGAGCCATTGCTGACCTGGCAGGTGTTTCCATTGGAGCTCAAAGATCTGTCTCGCCTTGCCTTCTACCCTATTACCTCGTCGCTGGCAGTGTCAAGAAGGTTGCTGGAGAGTTCAAGCGATCTTAGGAGCAGCAACTGCTCCCAGGGACCCATGTTCTACAAGTGAGGATGAATGGCACCCATTCTCGGGATAGTCTCTGTTCAAGCTGACACTGCAAGGTACAGGGTGCAAATCATGATGTTGGATCCCAACACAACCACCACACACTGCCACAGGGGGACCCTTGACGCGCCAGGCCCTGCCTTCAACAAGCAGACGGGCCAAATGGCCGACACCTACCTCTCTGTCCGCGGCTGGTCCAAGGGCATCGCCTGGATCAATGGATTCAACCTTGGCTGGTGCGGGTCGGGGCCACAGCCTGGGGAGGGTGTACGAGTATCTGGTCCTCCTGCCTGTGGCCCACACCATGCCGCAATGCCCTGTGCCCCATCCCGCCCCTCACAGGCACTGGGCCTCCCAGGGACCGCAGGTCACCCTCTATGTTCCGGGCCCACTGCTCCATGCCGGCGACAATGAGATTGTCCTGTTGGAGCTGGAGGACACCGCTGAACGCGACCATGCGGCAGTCAGCTTTGTCGATGAACCAGACTTCTACGGCCCCGCTTCGCAGGGCATGGCCGGTGCAGGAGTCAGCATAGCAGGCGCGCCTGGCCGACGCACAGCCCATGGCCCTGTTTAAAGAGGGCAGGATGGTGGAGACTACGTGCGTCTGATATCAATTGTGCCATGGACTCTGCATTCTGCTCTCAGATTGTAATGTACACAGTAGGAAGGTGGATACAAGCAGAGGGGCGTGTCCGACAAGGTACATGCCTTCATCTCTCAAAGTGAGCCGCGTGTTCCGGGCGCCTGGGCTACAAATATACAGGATTCATTCATCTACATCTACTCCACGGGACAGCCTGGCAGGGGTGGAAGCCAGGCTGCCCTTCTCCCCGTCCCTCGGCACCGCTTGCATGTACACGCCCCCTGTTGCGATGGCAGGCAGGGCCAGCATGAGCAGGAGCACCTCCAAGAGCACCTCGTCCTACACAGAGTGCTCGCGTTCCGAGTGAAGCCCTCATGCGGCCCCAGACTTGCACTACCATGCTCAACCCCCACAGGTAATGACCCCACCTGTCCCTTGCAGATGATGCAGAGGCTGCATCCGCCGTCACTGCAGTACAAGGTATCCCCGAGGGTCATGACACCTGGCAAGGGCGTGTTTGACATTGTGAGAGGCGGAGGCTGCGCCCATGTGCGTCCAGTGGGGGAGTCATGCATGCCCCCCCCACCTGTCTCACCGGTCCCATGACACCAGGAGCACTCCAGCTCGCCTTTGCCATCGCAGCACTCACAGAGCATGGGCGCGGAGTCCTGCATGGTGGCACAGGGTGTGAATATCCATCAGCATCCACCTGCCAGTCGCCCAGGCACCGTGCCCTCCCACGCACGTCGTTGGTCGCCTTCATGAGCATCTCCAGGTGCTCTGCTGTCCTGAGGCGGGCCTCCTCTTCCTCTTCCCTCCCCTGGTTCACGGGTCCCGCGCATCTCGGAACTATCCTCAAAAGCCTCAGGCTGGACCTGGTGGCAGCTGCTGGACGGCTCACGAAGCCATTGAGCCGGTGTCGCTGGCACGCTGGACAGGACTGGCGATTCATAAACAAGACATGGGCACGCCGTGTGCGACTAGGCCGGACTTAATTCCGTCTACGACTTCTCCAATCACTACAAGGCTGTAATGCTCAGTGGAGGTGCGACTGAAACGGCCCAGGACGGGTTGCATGCGTTCACGCGCTCCCGCGAGGAATTCAACTCTGCTGCCTGCTATGGTCACAGCACCGCATGGCTTTGAAAAGAGGTTGGACGTGTGGGCCCTCGACGAGCACGGCTTACACCGAGACACATGTGGAAATAGTGCGATCGGCGCAGGGAGAAGACAATTGATCACGTGTATACTTCTGCGAGGTAGATATGTTCTTCCCCTAGGAGTTCCTTGAGCGCATCAGCCTGTTTCTGGGTGACGGTAGGGGTGACCTTGCAGACAGCGGCTGCCGGATGATGGTGACCATTCACCCTGCTGCCAGGAGCGGGAGGCCCCTGTTCAGCACCCTCTGAGGGGAGGACAGTCGCTGCCACCTCACCCCCAGTCAAGACATCGCCATCCTTTCCGGCCTCTGCAACCAGAGGAACGTGAGGTGAGGTGATATCCATAGGCCGGCGTGCATCCTGTAGATGCTCCCAACCCGATCATCAAGCCATCAGACTAGGCCAGAATCTTGAGGCGCGCATATCCAAAGGCCAAGGGTCCCTCCTCACCTGATGCCTTTGGCGCAGCCTTGGGACTGGTGACTGCCCTTCGCAGGAACTCGTCAGAGAGGGTCACCAAGAGCCCCTTCCCAGGGAACAACCTGAGGGACAGAAAGTTGCAGGCAGCTTGCAAAAGGTGTCGTGGCCTGTGCCGCGCAGGTCAGAGTTTGTTTGTCCCCGGCACTACCCCCCCCCCCCTTGCCGCCTCACCAGGAAAGCGGGCCCTTTGAAGGCTTCAAGGCCTCGCCCTGGGCGTGCGCAGCCAGCAGGCTCCACGCCCCGGCCCGGGACCAGGTCTGCGCGGCGCGCGTGCCCGCACCCAGGGGCAGGTGGTCTGCCAGGAAGCAAAGTGCGGCGGTGTTCACCAGGCCCATGCCCTGGACCGGGTCCAGCTCGGCACTCAGCCCCAGCCTGTTCAGCAGCCAGCCAGCCTGGCCGCTGAAGAGCGTCAGGGGGTCTGTCCAGCAGGGGGGGCGAGTGGGGTGGTGGAGATCGGGTGGCAGGGGGATGGGCTGTAGACTGTGGCCAAGTGCATGAATGTCCTGGCGTTCTGCGGTGAGAGCACACCATGTCTGCTCTGGAAGTGGGTGGACTCACCTGCAAATGTGTTGTGCGACGTGCCGCGTACGACAAAGAGGAGGGCACCGCCGCCGTGCCTGCAGGGATGGGCAGGGAGCGGGCTGAGATACTGGTTCCTTCGTGGCAAAGGAGCACGCCGTCAGCACGGAGAAGGAAAGGCCCCTGCGAGTGTCCACCGCAGCCTGACTGCTCTTCAGACTGCGCATCCCACCCCACCCAACCCCTGCACCTGGCGGCTTGCAGCACCCTCTCCTGCTGCCGCTCGCCGCAGACCTTGATGCCATCGCGGTTGGGAACGTTCCAGCTGTAGGATCCCATGATCAGGATGGGGCAGGTCGTCTTCCAGGCCTCCAGCGCAGCGCTCTCGGGGGGCAGCGCATACCTAGATGGGTGATGCGAAGGAGGGGGGTTCGCCGGAGCGAATGCAACTTGACAGGGTCTCATGTAGACACGCTCGCCCAGCCCCCTGTCACCCCGCTCCGCACAACAGACTCAGCAGCCGAGACGCTCACCACCAGGGGTCAAAGGCGATGGCGGCCTTGAAGCGGGCGTCCTCCGCGGCGAGCATGGCAACCGTGGCCCCCCCGTAGCTGTGCCCCGCCGCCGCCACGCACCCCAGGTCCACGCTGCCGCAAAGGAACCTGCTGGCCTGCAGCCCGTGGGACAGCGTCATGCGGCCGGGGAGGCGGGAGCCCTGGGCCATGGCCGTCAGCACATCCAGGGCCAGCTGCATCTCAGCCACCCGCGTGCGTGTCTTGTCCACCTGGCCCGCATCGCCCCCCAGCCCAGCGTAGTACAGCCAGTCCTGAGGGATTGCAGCGGGTCAATGGGGGGCCGTCGGGCGGGGGTGTGCTCGGCAAGGGCTATGTGTCCAGTTGCTCGAGATTATTCGACCAGATGCTCTGCATGGGATCGACGGCCTGGACCCCACGAGGGTCACAATCCTCTTGGGGTCCAAGCTCGACCTGACCTCCCCTCTCCCCAGCACCCGTCCCACCTTGGCACCGGCCACACGAGCGGCGCTGCTGGACCCGTCTGCATGCTCCACGGCCAGGACGACGTAGCCCTGGCTGGCCAGCTCGGCGCAGGGGACGCTGTACATGCTGCGGAAGCCGCCAAGCCCATGGCTGAAGATGACGGCTGGGCGGCCGCCTACGTCCAGGGCGGGCGCCAGCGGCGCTCCTGGGATCATCCACAGGCGCTGCAGCCAGCCCAGGACAAGGACGAAGGCCTGCAGGACCACCCGCGCCAGCACATTGATCAGGGAGAGGGGCCGGCGGAAGAAGAAGAATGCGCCGAGGCCTGTGGCGTGGGATGTGGGGGCGGAGCATGGGTCGAAACGTTCCCTTTGCAGGCGGTACAAACATTTTCTGGTACAGACGCAGAGGGAACAGCGGACTACCTTTGGCATAGTTGTAGTGTGGGAGCCATGATACCCCCCAGCTCCATGGCCGAGGCGACCGCTTGGCGGTGGGGTAGAAGATGCGAGCCGACAAATGCTGCATGGAGAGTGAGGGAGCGAATTTCATGCACAGGAATCCCAAGGGTTCATCCCTGATCAATGCCTTGCATTGTAAAACTGATCACCTCAGCCCGGACGAGGTCATTGAATGGACGCCCTGGGTGCGCCTCCCACTCAAGGTCGGTGATGCCGACGCTGTACGGGCCGTGCGGAACCCACATGCTCGTTCGACGGCCTCTTGAGGTTAGCGACTGATAATGCAACAAAGGTGGTTCATGCGAAGGTGCAAGACATTGCAACAAGTTTGGTAGCGCGCATTTCCATTACGAGATGTTTACCCAATTGCCGGTTCCGGGCAGATTCCTCATGGCATGTACCCTCATGCCTAGAACCGAAACCCTTTCGTAACGGAGATTTCACAATGTTGGTACAGGCAGTCACGTTCACCAGGTGAGGGACAAAAGTAGGGTGAGTGAGATCAGCCATCCTGCCAGTCCCTGAGGTGCCGCTCCTCTGCGGTCAGCTTTCTTGCCTGCGCAAGGGGCCGAGGATGTGGGGCCCATTGGGTGGGGATGGGGCTATAACCTCAGCGAGAAATCGAAGACACATCAGCAGGCCCTGTGTGGGTGCTCACCCTCCCTCTCAACAGGGTGCGCACACCCTCCCATGCCATTCACCTGTGCCTGCCGCGTCGCCGGGTCGGGCGACTGCATCATGCGCGATGGCGCAGTCCACCCAAAGACCAGCTCTGGGTGCTGCTCCAGGTACCGGATCTGGGCGGTGCGAGGTGTGAGCTCCGCCTCCGCGCTCTCTGTGGCCTCTGACGCAGCACAGTCGCCGCTGGCGAGCGTCGGAACGCCGGGCGCGGCCGGCTCAGGGGTCGGCTGCGCTTTCTTCACCGTCCTGGACGGCAGGCGAGCGGTCCTGGCCGGTGCAGCTGACGCAGGAGCGGCCTTCCTGGCTGGCTGGGCAGCGGGAGCCGGGGCCCCGCTGCGTGCCCTGCTGGCCGCCGGCGCAGCGCCGCCGGGCACGCGGCCGTGGCCTGGGGCCTGGGGCAGGCGGGTGGCGCCCCGGCTGGCATCGCGGGCGAGGGGGGGCGGCCGGGGCAGGCGGCTCGGCGTCTTTGGCAGGCGGCTGGGTGTGCTGGAGGAGCAGGCAGGGGGGGGGGGGAGGGCGCCGGAAGGGGTACATGTCGGCTGCGTTAGAGACCTGGATTCGGAGTCGGAGGATGGGCCATGCGTTGTGGACGAGCATACTGCCGATGCGATTCATGCACTTGGGAAATGGATGACTATGGTGTGAATGCGATGCCCTGACCAAGGCAAGGCCCTTCACTCACTGCTGGCTGGGCTGCGAAGGTGTACGGAGCCCTGGCTCATGGGGGTCTGGCCTGCAGGCCTTTAGGCTCCAGTCATGCTCCTCCCGCCGCACGGGTGTTGCTCCCAGTTTCTGCAGGGGCGGCAGTGCCTCGGAGGGGCTCCCTTCCCCGGACTGGGTGTGGCTGCTTGGCGCCCTCGCCCTCGTCCCAGCCATTGCCGCCCCTGCCTCGACCGTCTTGCGTGATGGAGACATATGGAACAGACAGCCGAACTTGTCAGCGTCGACATCCTGCAATAGGAGGGAAGGCGGAGCCTCAGCACTTGCACGGGGGCAGGGCCTGGATCGCACCAAACAAGCAGGTTGCATACACTTGAACTTCTGTACCTTGCTCAAGAAATCATCCTCGGGCAAGCTCTCAAGCGTCTCAGCAGTGCTTAGACACATTCGGCTGAACCCGCCCAGGACCGAGACACTGCTCATCACGTCGAGTTTACTGGCGTGCAGAGCTGCGGGGCGGGGCATAGGTGGGTTGTCAGGCAGGGCCAGGTGGATGTGTGGGAGCAAGATCGCGACCATTCAGTACCGCACGCAATGGCAGCATGCTCAGACTCACTCTCGGCCCCGTGCAACCCGCGCATCGAGGAAGGCAAGGGCCCTCCATTTGCCGCCCCGCCGGATGCTTGCGACAGCACGCCCAGCTCAGGGCTGGGCAGTTCGCTGCTCAGCAGGTCGTCGATGCCAGGCTCCACCCAAAGCTGGCTGTGGTTGGACACGCCCCCGAGCAGGCGTCCCGATTTGTCAAGTGGGATCTGAACGTCCTCGTCGCCCAGGGCAATCTCATCACCGCTCAGGAAGCCCCGCCCCGACGTGGTCTGGCTGAAGGCGTTGAAGAGTGCGACGGACTGCCGCCGCGGGTCGGGCTTCCTTCGTCCTGGCCGCCCAAAGCTGGGAAGAGGGGCCAATGCATCTTCTTTAGACGCGGTCGAAGTGCCAGCCGCGTCTACAGGTGTTCCGGACGCCTCGAGCTCGCAGTCCATGGCGAGTGACGAGCCCGCACAGGTGCACCGGAGGGTCCTCGCTTAGGCCAACTTTTCTCCAATCAGCGTTCAAATGATTTAAACTGGAAATTCCAAACTCGTTCTTACCAAACTCTTCCCCGTGCATACGCAAGTAAGTGCCGGACCCTCCGACAGGTGACAACAGGCGCTCGCACGGTTGAATTCGCGCGCGTACCCCCCGGGGTGAGCCTCTCTGCCCCAAGGCAGCATCTGGCGCTACAGTGACATGGATGCCTCCGATTCACCATCCCAGCAACGGGAGCAGGCGCTTGGGGATCCTCCGCGCACCATACTCCGGTGCGACGGCCTCGGCTACCCCCAGGAAGGCGAGGGAGCGGCTGCTCACCGCTCCGTGGCACTCCCGCGCGCAGTGGCGCAGGAAGAGGGCCAGAGTGTCCCAGAGTGCCCCCCTCCCCCCGCTGGTCAGCACCACGTTTCCATTCAGCACCAGGCTGAAGAGTGGGGCGGCGGTGCCGAGCTGGGTGCCAATCACTCCGGTTGCCTGTGTGGGTGCAGAGGTCTGTGCGTGAGCCCGGCATGGGCATCGTGGGAGATGGTGGATCTGTAAGCAGCGGGCCGTCAGCCATGAAAAGGGAAACGCTCCACGTCTTGAGATCTGCGGGAAGACAGCAGGCCACACAATTGTGGCCCCTGGGCGGCCAGACACAAGAGTGGCATGCGCCAAAGAAGTGGAGACGGCCAGGAGGCCCCGATGCCCCGCCCCCGCTGCTCACCTGGTGGTTGGCGGGCGGCTGCAGGGGCAGGATCGCAAAGTAGGGCCCTGAAACCCTGCTCGGCAGCTTGCCTAGGTAGAGCGGGCCCTGCCCTCCATCCACCTGGCTGCTGCTTGTGGCAGGATCCTGCACCGTGCCAGGCACACTTGTAAGGAAGGCTGTCGGCAGTACACGACATGCTACCCGCATGAGCATGGACATGAGCCGCACGAGGTGCTGGGGAGTTCACCAGCAGGCCCATACAAAGCAGTCCCTGCAGATTCTTGCAAATTCCCTCACATTGTCCCCCCCCCAAAAATTAAGCGAGTGCCCTGACAGCCCTACTGGCCGAGCGCATCCGCACCTGCAGGAAGTGCCAATGAGGGGCGGCCAGGAAGGCGGCAAAGATATACAGGAGGAGCACGGAGTCTGTTGGTAGTTCCAGCGTCCAGGACTTGCCACCAAAGAGGCCCCCCGCTGACCAGTCAAAGGCCGTCACGCAGGGACCCTCTGTATGGAGGTGGAGGGTGTGAAAGTTGCCAGGAAAGGGGCTGGCAGCGCCATGACAGCGCCCCAGGGGGGTTGCATCATGTCAGCAACCTGCCATCAGGAGCAGGCCGGCATTCCCCAACGAAAACGAATCCACCCACCAGCCAGTCTGCGAATGCGGCTTGCCACGTAGCCGCGAGGCGTGGCCGGGAGGATTCCGGGCGGGGCCTCGCCCTTGAGCACGGCAGACAGCTGCTGGTATGTGGCGATGGCCTGGAAGGAGCATGTAGCGGGCAAGGAATCAGTGAAGAGCGGCGATGGGTTCAGCGACGTTGAGTAGTGCCTGTCAGGGCATGGCCAGCATCATGCACCCTGCCATTGTTACCCCAGTGTGATCCTAAAACTTTGTAGTAGAGAGCAAAGGCAATCTCTACGATGGATGCAGAGATATGCGCCGCCGTTGCACCCTTGCTGCCCGACCTGCAGGCAGGCCAGGGCTTCTGGCGGCGGGGCCACGTCGGGTGTGAGGGAGAATGTGCCGGAGGGCCTCAGGCGAGCCACGATCTGGTCTCGCAGCTGCAACACCAGGGCCTCATCGTCGATGCCCTCCCCGCGCCCCAGGTCTGGTAGGATAGTTGAGTAGGACGAGTTTGGACTGAGGAGACTGGCCTGGCTGAAGGGTCTGCAGCGCCGCGGCCCCAGCCAAGCTCGGATCGATTCCAGGAAACAAATCACCCCTGGCCTCACTCTTGGATGCGACGGACAGGGGGGCGGGGCTCTCCAGGCTGCTGAGCCGGATGCCCTGGAGTCCCAGCTGCGCTGCGCTCTCCTCCACCCTGCTGTGCGCGCCTTCCATTGCGTCAACCAGCGGCTGGAGCACCTCTTGGGCCATCCACTCCCGCAGCGCCTCGGTGCTCGCCTTGGAAATGATGTGGGATGATCGGGGGAGCGTTTCCTTGTATTATTATGCTGCAGATTTGAGCCCCGCAGCTGGCAACACAGGCCCAGTATGCGTCCTAGCCTGGCCTACCATCAGGCCCCCCTGAAAATCCACAGCCCCCAGATTTCTGAAGGGGGCAGGCAGGCTTCCTGTGCGAGAAGTGTACCTGGAGGTCATTTTCTGAGAGTCCCAGTCGCTCCAGGACCCGGGATCGCAGCTCCAGGGGCGAGGGGGCCAGCTGCCTCTCACCGCCCCGGTGCACAGGGGCGGCCTTGCCCCTGGGGAGGAGGGAGGGCCGGTATGTGGGGGATGGGCCCCCATTCAGGCCCACGCCTGGCAGCCCCATGGCATGCATGTCGTACGGCGAGGCACAGGCCGGCTGGCCGGGTGCGACCGAGTGGGCGTCAAACTCAGCCTGTGCAGCATTGACAGAGGAAGGGGAGGCTTCAGCATGTAGGTTTACCATTGCACTGCAGGGCAGATTGGTTGAGTCCAGAGGGTATGAGAGCCACTGGGCACCCCTATCCTTTCACAGATATGGTCGCGTACCAACATGCCGGCAAACTCGGAGGGGGAAGGGTTCCGGACAGCACCTCGCCAGCCATGCGTTGAGGGGGGTGTCCCGGACACCTGCTGGTGCTGCTGAGGCTCAGGGGAGGGCGCCGAGTAGAGGCTGCCGCCCGGCTGCCTCACAGCGCGGCGCTGCGGCACGGAGGACGCAGAGAATCAACAGGTGGACTAGAGCGCTCAGGAGGACAGCATCCAACCCCGCCGCATGCTGCCATTGCGTTCCACTCACCAGAGGGGGTGTGAGGCTTGCATGTGGGATCTGGGCAGGAAGGGGCCCCCTCCCAGGTGCAGCCCCTGCAGTCTCCGAGGCACTCTGGGGCTGCAACGGCAGTCCCAGTAGAGCACGCTGCCTGTTGGTCAACGACGCAGTGAGTGCTGGCTGCTCTGAGGATCCAGACCGGGACAGGAGGGTGCCAAGGCCCCAGAGGCCAAGCAGGCCTGCGATCAGCGACGTCAGCGCCTTCAGGACAGCCACACCCAAGGAATTTTGCCATCCCAAGAGGTGCCTGTGATGTGACGGGGTGGGAGCATAAGGGGGAGGGCTCCTAGAATGCAAGCTGCGCGATACTCTGCCACAACTGTCGAGACTCCTGTGCCCATCTGCAGTTCTCAAACGTACGATCCCACGAGGATTTACACGCATACCTACCCATATTTTCCGGTGAGAAAGCAAATTACGGCTAGGAGACAAGCCTTGGCACCCCCTAGGGCCGACCGCTTGCGCCTGATGGGCAATCGGGCTGTCAGCCACTGTGGCCGCTGGTTCCAGTGACTGGTCATCGCTCAGCGCATGACAGCTAACATTGCGCCCTTGCAAAAAGTTACTATCAAATGCATTGTCATCCTGATTGACAATACCAACCACGAGATTTCTCCCGAGTACAGCATGTTTCGAATGATGGGGAGGAAGCCTCCCATAGCGCGCGCGCGCAGGGAACTGGGCGGGATGCGGGCTTGTTGGGCATTGTTCCCTCTTAGTACCCAGCCTTCAGCCGACGAAATCACGTAAAAGGACCAGACTCTTCTCCTTGAGACACTGAAGTCAATCGAGTTGCTCCAAGACTGCGTCGCAATACCCTGTAAGACATTGCATGCTGGCACTCGTGGAGCTCTAGTCCTCGCTTCATTCAACGCGAACAAGCATGGTGAACGCTTCCACGAAGAACAAGGAGAAAAAGGGGGCAGCAAAGGATGGCGCAAGCCCAGATGATGGCCCCTCCACCTCGGGCCTGCCTCCCCACTTGGAGCTGCAGCGGACACGCATAGTGTGCGGGCCGAACATGAACTCATACGTGAGTGGTGCAAGGAGCAGGACCTTTGCTAAGAGTTGTGTGCTTGATGCCTTATTGTCAAGTGAGCGAACTTATATATTTGAGGAAAGCTACATGGCCAGGCCCGGCCAGGTGCCAACACTGGGGCTCCTCACACCTGGACAGGTCCAGCTCTGTGTCTGCACCCACTGCCCTGTCGCCTCCCTTCAAGCAGACCAACAGCAGCATGACCGATGTCGAGTTCATGGCGAGCGATGTGCCCAACATCTTTGACATGGCCCGCTTCAAGAAGGGCTTCAGCATTGACATCACGCGGTACGAGGGCAACGACATGACCTTCCACATGAAGGGCATCAGCTGTGCGGTGAGCCGGCGGGGAGGGAATGAGTGGGCGCTGGGTATCCTGGTAGGGTGGGTCCGCTCTGCAGGATTCTTGCTGTGGGTGTGCCTTGCTGTGCTGCCGTGCAAAGGACTGATCTGTGTGATCCTTTGCATCCCCCCGAAAACGCTCACAGCCATGGGTTTCCAGCCCCATGTTCTCAGTCCTCTTGTTCACTTGCTGCTGATGCCGCACACTTCCGTGCACAGGTGGCCAACTCGCTGCGGAGGATCATGTTGGCTGAGACTCCGACAGTTGCCATCGAGCACGTCTTCATCCTGAACAATACCAGCCTCATCAGCGACGAGATGCTCTCCCATCGGCTCGGTCTGCTGCCGCTGAATCTACACCCCAGATATCTCAAGTACCGGGTGAGGGAATGCACTTCTGCAACCAGCTCACGGTGGAGCAGGCGGCTTGTGTCTCGTGACATGTGCACCCGTGCTCGCTGCTGCTCAATGTCGCCTCCCTCTCTCCGGTGCTCACTTGCATCATCTCATCCCACGCCCTCCTTCCCACCCTGCAGCTGGATGGAGAGCCTGCCACCGAATTGAACACGGTGATCCTAAAAATGAAGCTCTCCTGTCACTATCAGCCAGATGGCACCCTGAAGAATGAAAAGGTGCGTCCAGGGGGGTGTGGCGGTATCCCAGGATGGACTGGGTGTGGCAGTCTATTTTCAGGACAGCCTCTGAGGACTGCAGCGCGAACGGGCATCCTCCATCCCAGCCAGACCGCCCTTCCCATGCTGCGAGCAGGTGTATGCCGAGGCCTTGAAGTGGCTGCCACATGGATCAGAGATCCCAGACGAGACGGGGTGCAAATTTGTCCGGCCGCAAGTCAAGTTCATGCCGGGTGTCGACCCCGTGAACGCCGACATCCTCTTGGCCAAGCTCCGGCTGGGCCAGCAGATAGAGCTGGAGGCACACTGTGTCAAGGGTGGGTGCTGGCTGGGCCATTGTTTACCGTCCATTTAAGGATGGGGAATTGCGCAGCCGTGGGTGTGGAGGGGAGGGCAAATGGTGGATCTGAGGGAAGTTTCAGGCCGCTTGCCAATCTCGAAGAATGTTGCGACAGAACCATGCAACCCGCCAAGGTCTCCTGCTGACCCCCTCGTACCTTCTCCATGACCTGTACAGGAGTTGGGGAGGAGCATGCAAAGTGGTCGCCAGTGGCGACTGCATGGTACCGCTTCATGCCAGAGGTGGTACTGCTGCAGCCTGTGAAGGACGAGCTCGCCAAAGAGCTTGCAGGTGCGGGGGAAGATGAGGACCGTGGTGTACTGGAGGGATATAGGTGAATATAACCCGGTGCTGGTGAGCCAACCCTGGCACCGAGCTTGAGCGACATGATCCCCTTGTGCCGACGCAGTCCTGACCTCTCAATGTCGTCGCGGCCTCCCTCCTTCTGCAGGGGAGCTCCCTGGGCTCATAACTGTTGACTCCGACGGGTCTGCAGTGGTTAATGATCCATTGGAGCACGACGTCCTCCTCGAAAAGGTGATCGATCAAAGCGATGACTTCTGTGCAGTCAGAATCGTTGCCTGGAGGAGCCCCGCCCTTGCATTCGCCACACTATCTGACACATAGGACTGGTGAAGCCTCTCTTCTCTTCACTGTTCAACCCCCCAATCGCCAGGTTCGGGCGATGAGTGGCGAGCCCAAGTGGCAGGATGTGCTGCAGCTGCGCAAGGTCAAGGACCACTTCATCTTCACCATCGAGTCGACGGGGGCATGGAGGCCGCACGAGATCTTCGAGTATGCGGTCAAGCTCATGATGGCCAAGTGTGACAAGGTGCTGGAGGGGCTGCAGAAGTACCCGCCGCCCTCCGACCTCGGAGCAGAGGAGTGGATGGAGGATTAGGCCTGTGCTGTGCCTGTCTTCCTGTGTATGCCCCGGATTCTGGCTGCAATTCTGGGACTGTACACAAAAAGCTGAAGAGCAAGCAAGGCAAGCAAGGGTCAAGGGCCCGACGTTGCAAAAGAAGGTCTGCGACATGTGCAGCTATGGGTAGAGTGCTGCATGCATCGCATGCACACGTGCAGAGTTGTGGGCTGCTTGTGGTGGCGTGCAGGGATGTGCGTGTCGAGTCTCAGGCGGATCCCATCGGTTTGCCAGGAATGTCTCGTCCATCACTCCTTGTACACCCCGGCGAGGACGTGCCGCGCCCAGAAGGCCACCCCACAGCAGAGGCCCTGGAATGCCAGCAGCCGTGAGCACAGCACTAGCTCGGTGCAGGGCCCAAAGATGGAAAGGAAGGCGTTCACCAGATTCCAGTTTGGTGTGGGGTGGAGTAGCCCCGTGGCAGTGTCGTACCTGGGCAGAGAGTGTGTGCCTCACCAGTATCAAACATTGTGCTGTCATCCCAGAAGTTGCAGTGGATGGGACACCCGAGCAACCAGCCCACCCTGGCATCACTCAACGGTGGCACAGACCCTCAATCCATACCTGGGCAGGCGGTGGCGGGGGCAGGGCACCCACTTGAAGAGCTGGGGAATGCTGTACACAAAGTTGATGATCTGGGGGATGAAGAACATGAGCAGCGTCTCAGAGAAGTGGCCCAGGATGCCCGCCACTGCCAGAGTCATGCCCGAGAAGTAGGTGAATGTGTCGCCAACGAAGACCTGAAAGTGGTCGGTTCAATTTGAGAGAGGGGTGAAATCTAAATGCTGCTAAAGAGTCCTGGCTGTGCATGAGGAGCTGGGAATGTCAGCAGCCCATTCTATGGGTCAGTTGCAGCACATTGATCACAACACTACACCTTCAAACAGACAAAATCCATTGCTGCCTTTCTTGCCTGGGAGGGATACCAGTTGAAGAGCAGGAGGCCCATCGAGGTCGTGATGAGGGGGAGCATGAGGTATGCAGAGAAGAGGTGTCCGTCGCGAACTGCAAGCGGGAGGGGAAGGCAGCTCAGGAGCGTATTCTCCAATGTGAGGTAGGAGAAGAGGCTGCCATTTGGGAGGGCTGCCGGAATAATGACTGGCCACTGCATCTCAGCAAGCGCTCGCTTATGTCGCCGGGCTGGCCGACCAAGCAAAGGCCATGGCATATCCAATACCGTTCCCCTCCATAAACCGACCATAGTGCATGAACCTCCCCCCCCCCCCCCCGCACACTCTGTGCCGTTTGCCATTCCCACCTTCGTCTGGGATGTTCCCTGCCAGCTGCATGAGGTTGTGGGATAGCACCGCCGAGGCGATGACCACAGTCTGCCCAACCTCCAGCCCATTGACCCCAGCCAGGATGTTGATGGAGTTGGCGCAGAAGATGACCAGGGCCACCATGTAGATGTAGTAGAGCGGCCCCAGCTCCAGGCGGGGCCCCAGGCCGAAGCAGAGGGCGCGCAGGGGTCGCGGGACCACGACCCCGGTGCCCCCTGCGTACGCGATGATGAGGGGCAGGCTGGCGACGCAGGGCAGGGCCAGCTTCACTCGCCAGGGAATGTCCAGCACATCGTCCGCAAAGCCCAGGAAGAGCATGAAGCAGATGGTGGCGAGGGCTGCGTTGTAGTCCACCAGCCTGGCGAGTGGAGACAATATGGGGTGGGAAAGGGTTTGGGGGTTGTCGGGAGATAGTGTGAGAGGGTCATGTCGAGGATTGGAGATCTGAGGAACTGGCATTGACGCGAAGGCAGGGAGTACTGACACAGGCATCTCGGCTCTCTCTAAGGTATTGAGGCCTTATAGCTGCAAACTCCTGTCTCAACCAGCCAGGAGGTATGCGTCGGTATCAGATCCCCAGCAGCAGGCAGTGGCACCCACCATGCGTCGCTGGCCTGCTCCACCACCACGCTCTTCAGTTCCCACCAGCTCCCGCCATGCGTCAACCACCGCACGAAGGAGGCGGCGTCGTAGTAGTGCAGCTGCTGAAACAATATGATGCACACCTGTGATGGCGTGCTGGGATAGAGATCGGTGCTGCAGTACTGCAGAGCCCCTAAATCCTGCACAATCTCACAAAGACCACTGCCCATGATCCCATACGAGGCAGCCTCACCAGGAACACTACCCCGGACGCCAGGCCGAGGGACTCCGGTATCTTCTTCTCTCCCGCTGGGCTTCCCTTCTTGTTGATGTCCAGCCCTGAAAGCCCCGCGCGCAGGTTGAAGGCCTTGACGATCGGGACGAGGGCCTTGGTGGCCACCAGCCCCGCATAGCTGACCACTGCGCTCAGGGCAATGGAGTACCAGGTCCTGTCGTCCTCAATGCGCGCAAAGGCCAGAAGGCAGGGCAGCGCGCAGCCCACGACCAGGATCTGGAGGTGGCGACGGGGATTCGACACCATGATTGCCGACCGACGCCCTGTCCTCCTCTGCCCCGATCAGGGATTCGCATGGACGGACTGGGGTATTTGCAGGTGTTGGGTGCTCCCGGCCCTACCCGATCATCGACGCCGGAGGCAGTGGCATCCCCCCATCGGACCAGCTGTCGCGCACGGTCGTGTGGTGGAAACCTGGAATGCGAAACCTGCCCCCAAAATGCCAAGCCCATGTCAGCGAGGCTATCATCGCATTGACTACATGGGTAAGGACTCGTCTGACACAAGGGTATGCCTGCTGGGTCATGCACATCAGCTGTGCATGGGGCAAGGGGAGGGCTTCGCGCACCCTGCTGCCCATCCTTTCCTACTTGAGCTGTTCGGGCTGGATGATGCGCCCCGCCCCCTCATCAAAGTAGGCGGCGGTCTTCATGTCCAGTGCCGCGAGTCTGAGGGGGGTGAGATGTGTGGTTTTTCGGCATGTGAGGGTTGAGATGAGCCACTGTGGAGTCATGCCTTGTTGTGGCACGTGCCTGTCTCAGCACAGTCATGACTCTTGTGACATCGCCGCTGCAGAATACAACACCGTCTCCCACTCATTGACACAGACCTGATGGTCCCCAGGAGCTGCTCCGGCAGTGTGGCCGGGGTCTGTCCCTCTAGCAAGACGCCCATGTCCAGGGTCAAGGACTTTGTCGCCCCAACCACCATGTTTGTGATGGACGCCGCGACGGAGCTCGCGCCGATGTCTACATCCACCTCAAAGTAATTGCTTCCCCTGGTGGGAGGGAGGGGAATTGAAGGTGTTTGTGGCAAGATCCGGGTATTGCGCTGGCCACAGCATACATCTGGGCGGCTTCCTGCATAAGAAACCTCCGCAGAGCGGCCCTCCTCAAACCCCAGCTCACTTGAAGTACTTGGTAGTCAGCTTCTGTCCCAGGATCACGGGCGTCGTGCCCACAGACTTCTGCATGATCCAGGCGCCCTTGGAGATGTGGGGGATGAGCTTGAACTGCTTGTTGCGTGCCCGATCGGCCTCAGGGCCCTCGCCGTTGATGAAGCTGCGCAGCTCGGATGAGGAGTTGGAATGTGCTCGACACAGGATTGGCACTGGGTGGGCATCTGAAGGGGCACACTGAGCAACAAACTCCCAGTCGGCTATACGCCCCGCCGTCATCACCCCTCGTCCCGGCCCTACCTTCCCCCTTCCGCACGACCTCAGCACCCACCCCACCCCACCCCCTCCCCACACACACACCGCCCAGCTCACGCGGCGAGGGCCTTGAGGAAGGCCGCGTCCCCTGGCGTCAGCTTGCCGCTGTGCGCCTCGTAGGCCGCGACGAGGTCGGCCTCTGCCACGTCCAGCACGGCCACCGGCGCCGCCCAGCTGGCCACCAGGGCCACAGGGGGCTTGCAGGGCACCATCATCTGGACGCAGAAGAGGAACGGCGCGGGCGCGTTGCGCACCGAGGGCAGGTGCCGCGCGACATGCAGCATGGGCTCCTCCAGCTCCAGCAGGTCCACCGCCACCAGCTCGAAGACGGGCGGGCCGGCAGGGACCTTGCGCTTGTCGGCCAGGTAACTCGGGCCACGCACCTAGAAGGGTTGATACGGGAAAAAAGGGGGGCATTGGGTGAGTATTGGAGGGTGAGAGAGCGAAGTGTGTTGGCGAGAACTACACGGATGGGGCGGGCGGGCATCTGGATGGCTGGCATTGAGTGGGAGATTTCGGCAAGGCATTGGCTCAGGTCGCAAAGGTAGCCATCCTGTTTGGGTCGCTGCGTTTCTGATACAAAACAATATGAGACGCTCACAGGACTGCCTTTCTCCATCCTCTCTCCACTTGAGCCCATACCACTGCCCATTCTTCCGCCCATCAGGCGCAAATCCCTCTGCCCCTCCCCCACCGTTGGCCCACACTCACAGTCCCTCACAACGAGCAGTATGCTCTTCCCCTCCCCCCCCCCTACCACACACAGTACCTTGAACCCTGCATCGCCGGGGCAGGACCAGAACTGGCGGGGGCAGGTCCCGCCGATGGCCCAGGCGTCCTCCTCCACCCTCTCTGCGGCGGCAGCGTCGCCCGCCTCGGCCGCCGGCGCAGCGTCTGCAGCAGGGGCCGCCGCGCCCGTGCTGCTTGGGCCGGAGACCGAGGGGCCTGATCCCAGCGCTCCCGGCACAGCCCCAGGCGGCAGCATGGACAGCCTTGACAGCTGCAAGAGGGGTAGACAAGCGTCACACGGGGTTTGATTTTGCGCGTCAAGGTCGGAGGGGGCGGATGAGCCGGCTCAAGCATCGCCACAGCTCGGGCCATTTGGGAGGTTAAGCATTGCTACAGCGCTCCAGCCCCTGGCCTTCCCTCACTCGACCCCGCGTCACTCGACGTAGCCCACTCACCAAAAACAACAGAGACCGCCGCTGTACCGGGGTCACATGCAAACCAGCCCTTGCTCCTGAAGTTCCCATCACCCCCGTCCACCACCATCCCAACGACAAGCCCATCACAGCACGGCTCTCCCACCTGCTCCGCCGCCACGGCGCGCTGGGCGAGGAGGAGCGGCTCGCGGCGGTAGGCCAGCGTGGAGGCGCTGCGCTTCTGGACCGCGGCGCGCCGCCGCGCCGCCTCCTCCGCCGGGCCGAGGGCCAGGGGCTCGGCGGCCCCCACCGCGGCGGTGGGGTCCGAGGAGGAGAGCGGGCGCAGCACGAACCTGTCCTGCTCCACCTTGTCCCGCAGGACGATGACGGAGCTGACCACGGGCTCCAGCAGGCCGCGCAGGCCGACGCCGGCCAGCGGACCAAACAAGCGCGCGAGGCGGGAGCGCTCGCTGACCACGCCGCCAAAGTCGGCCTTGAGCACCATGGTCAGCAGGCATTCGCGCGACTCGCCCTCAGTGTGGTACTTGGGCAGCAGCGGCGCCACGGTGAACCCCGCGGCCTGCACGCCCACGCGCACGGGGGCGTTCCAGCCCCAGCTCCGCGACTCGGGCACGGAGCGGTGCCGCGTGGACTGTGGCAAGGGGGGGGCGAGGGGGGAGGGGTGGTGAGGGAGCGAGGGGGCGAGGGGGGAGGGGTGGTGAGGGAGCAAGGGGGCGAGGGGGTGAGGTGCCTGTGCTGTCACAGATGCTGTGAGCGGGCCATGATGACGGGGTCCGAGTCGCGGGCATCCTGACCGACGCCCCAATGCTTGCTGGCCCATTACATGCCAGTGGCGGGATCTGATGTGGCCGGAACAGGATCACAACCCTCCCTCCCTCCCTCTCCTCCTGTAAAGAGCTCCCATAGTCACCGGAATGTCCCACCTGGTACAGGACGATGTAGGTTCCGTCCTCGTCGCGACGGAAGGTTCGCAGCAGGACAATCTCCCTGGGAGCCAGGAAGCTGCAGGGAAGGCAGGAGGGAGAGGGAGGGCAGATAGGTGGGCCGTGGAGGGAGCTTGGTTTAAGGGGGTGGAAATCGTCGCCCGAACCATGAGCGCCGGGCCACGGGTCCGAGCAAGACACTCCTTGTTTCTAACGCCACTCGTGCACCGCACTCCACAGAGCGCCCCGACTTGATTGTGCAGGGAAACACCTGATTCCTCAACACTGCCTCGTGTATGGCTGCCAGCCTGTCCACTGCCAATTCCCTCTTTCCAAAGAAAGCATGTGCCGACCTGCTCGCGATGCCTGACGCATTCCAGGTCTGGGCCACGACCTGGGTGGTGGCGTCGATGACCTCCAGAACCCTGACACCCGAGAAGATGTCCTTGCCCTCCGTCTTTCGGTTGTGCACCAGGTGCTGCAGGGGTGGGGGGCAAAAAAGGGATCGTGTTGATGTGGGCAGCACTTGATGCCTCTAGCCACTTGCACCAGCGTCGGGCCACCTCCCGCTGTACCCTACTTCCTGTGACCCAGCTGGAGGCAAGCATACGGCCAAGCAGAGACCCCCCGCTTGTCACACCCCTAGAACACCTCCGAACCACTCAACCACGCACACTTCTCCACCCATCCCACTCACTCTGAAGACATCGTGCGGGGGCGCCTTCACCACGGCAGACACCATGATGGCGCCCCCCGACCCGTCGGCGTCCGAGTCCTCCACAAACAGCGCCACGCCGTTGATGTGCATGACCGAGGCCCAGGAGCGCGGGCGCGGGCGCGCCGTGGAGTCCTCCGACGCCGCACGCACGTGACGCATCGGCACCGCCGTGGCGGGGAGGGCGGCGGCGGCGGCGGAACCCTCAGCGCCCGTCGCCACCGCGCCACGCTCAGCGCCCAGCTCAGCTCCCAGCCCGCTCTTCATGGGGCTGGGGGGCGGGGAGCCTTCCCCTGCATCAGCCTCGGAGGTCAGAGAGGCCTGGCGGGAGTGCAGGTCCCCGACGCCGGAGACGGTGCGGGCGGGGAGGCGGGCAATTACGTCACTGAGTGCCCGATGCCACAGCTCCGCCTCTCTTTCCTCCTCAAACGCCAGCACCAGGTGGTCCTGCCCGATGATGCCGGAGTTGGGCCACTTGACTGAGAAGCCCCACTGCGGTGCAGGTGGGAAGGAGGGCATGGAGAATGAGGAATTAGGAAATTGAGCGCCAACAGGTTACAGAGTACGAGTGGGAATGAGCTACTGACGGGGGGAAGGGACCTTACCACCCTCAACCCCCTCGTCAGCCCAGGCTGCGGGCGCATCCCACACCACGCACGTATGGGCAAGTACCCACCCACCCACTCCCTCTCACCATGTCCTTAGCATCGTAGGCCTTGGCGGTAACCGCCCACAACGTGCTGGTCTTGGCATGGCGCAGCTTGAAGGTGTGGCGGTCCACTGGGGTGAGCGAGACGTCCCGGCTCAGGGACCAGACCTTGGACGGGGTCTGGTTTCAGGAAAGGGAGGAAGGGTGGCAGGGAGGAAGGGGTCGCTCAATGCAGCGAGTCGCCTGGCCGTGCCGTGCCTGGGGTCAGCAAGGATCGCAACGGGTGATCCTGCACCGGCAACATACCCATACCCTGCTGGACCCGAACACACAACCAACCATACCCCCGCTGCTTGCCTCGTCAGTCTCCTTCCTGTAGGTCACCAGCGCCGTTGGGTACAGGGCTCCAAACCGCTTGTTCAGCAGCGCGCTGACCACCCCCGACTCCCTGCAAAGGAGCGTAAATCGGATTGTAAGGGTTCTCTCAGCACCATGGGAATCCCAGGACCGCTCTCTGAAAGTGGATCGCGTCCCAACTTCCTGCACCCTTCCGCACCTCGCAAGCCAGCCCTGGAGAATGGGAGTCTCCTCGCCCGCCACACTGGACCGAGAGCGGGCATGCCCCCTCTTGTGGGGAGTTCCCACAGTACTCATGTGGAATGCTCTATCAGCAGCAGGTGAGCTTGACGCTCCGGTCACTGCCGGGGGGCGGTTCGGAACAGCGACCTCCCGTTCCGTAATCTCTGGTCACCTCCAAGACACTCCGTCACCGCCGTCGGGTTGACGAGGCTTGAGCGGTAGAGACTCCCAATTCACGAATTCTCCCTTGGGAGCATGTGGAGAGGTCAAGAGAATGCTTGACTTCGGCACGAGACACCCCTTCAGCGCGCTCTCGCGAATCTGATCTCTGGGCAGGCGAGCAGGCGCCAAGCCTCGGGCTGAGGTATCTTACCTGCCTGGGCATCATAACCGGCGCAGAAGCGCCCTCCCCGCGCTCCTCTCGGTAAATCCTCAAACTCATCGTAGTCGCAATGCAGCAGTTGAACTGCATCCATCCCGTGCGATCTGTGTGCAAGGTGGGGTTTGCCACAGCTCGACACAGCTCCCGCCCGTACTTTTCCTCAAGCCGCGACGCGCCCCCTAAAAAGTGGCACATTGCAGCACAGGCCTCGCAAGGTACATCCGAACCTGAGAACACCGGTTACTGGCAAAGCTGCTCAAGGCGCACTCGCACCACTCTCCGGTACCCACCTTGGTGGGGATTGTGCTTTTCCCTTTGTCTCATTCAGCCCCGTGCTCCTATCCCCAGGAGCTCCACCTGTGAGTAAGGAGGAGGAGGAGGCCAACAAAGCGCGCTGGCAGGAGAGCGGCGGGGGCCAGGGCAGCTCTGACGAGTGGCGGTGGACCCTGAATTGGGACTCCCTGCCTGGGCACCCCATCCTCATCGGCTCCTGCCCCCGCTCCCCCTCCGACATCGTGTGTGGGCTGGGTTGTGCAGTATGAGAAAGGGGGGGGACTCTGAATGGCCTGCGCTTGTGCCCTGGGTCCTCGGCGCGGCCCCAAGGCGAGTGGGCGGGCTGTACATGGTTTGATGCACCCTTCCGCACCTCGCAAGCCAGCCCTGGAGAATGGGAGTCTCCTCGCCCGCCACACTGGACCGAGAGCGGGCATGCCCCCTCTTGTGGGGAGTTCCCACAGTACTCATGTGGAATGCTCTATCAGCAGCAGGTGAGCTTGACGCTCCGGTCACTGCCGGGGGGCGGTTCGGAACAGCGACCTCCCGTTCCGTAATCTCTGGTCACCTCCAAGACACTCCGTCACCGCCGTCGGGTTGACGAGGCTTGAGCGGTAGAGACTCCCAATTCACGAATTCTCCCTTGGGAGCATGTGGAGAGGTCAAGAGAATGCTTGACTTCGGCACGAGACACCCCTTCAGCGCGCTCTCGCGAATCTGATCTCTGGGCAGGCGAGCAGGCGCCAAGCCTCGGGCTGAGGTATCTTACCTGCCTGGGCATCATAACCGGCGCAGAAGCGCCCTCCCCGCGCTCCTCTCGGTAAATCCTCAAACTCATCGTAGTCGCAATGCAGCAGTTGAACTGCATCCATCCCGTGCGATCTGTGTGCAAGGTGGGGTTTGCCACAGCTCGACACAGCTCCCGCCCGTACTTTTCCTCAAGCCGCGACGCGCCCCCTAAAAAGTGGCACATTGCAGCACAGGCCTCGCAAGGTACATCCGAACCTGAGAACACCGGTTACTGGCAAAGCTGCTCAAGGCGCACTCGCACCACTCTCCGGTACCCACCTTGGTGGGGATTGTGCTTTTCCCTTTGTCTCATTCAGCCCCGTGCTCCTATCCCCGGGAGCTCCACCTGTGAGAAAGGAGGAGGAGGAAGCCAACAAAGCGCGCTGGCAGGAGAGCGGCGGGGGCCAGGGCAGCTCTGACGAGTGGCGGTGGACCCTGAATTGGGACTCCCTGCCTGGGCACCCCATCCTCATCGGCTCCTGCCCCCGCTCCCCCTCCGACATCGTGTGTGGGCTGGGTTGTGCAGTATGAGAAAGGGGGGGGACTCTGAATGGCCTGCGCTTGTGCCCTGGGTCCTCGGCGCGGCCCCAAGGCGAGTGGGCGGGCTGTACATGGTTTGACACTCCGCTGTTCGCCGCCTGGACCCACCCCCCCCCACACCCTTCCTGCTCCCCTTCCCACTCCCCCCCCTCCTCCCCAGGACCGCATCGTGGAGGAGGGCCGCGCCACGGCCATCCTCTCCCTCCAGTCCGACGCCTGCCTGGAGGCCCTGGGCATCGACTACCCCGCCCTGCACGCCCGCGCATGCGCTCGCGGCCTGCTGGCGGCGCGCGTCGCCGTCCGCGACTTTGACCACGACGACCAGGCGGCCATGCTGCCGGAGGCGGTCCGCGCGCTGCACACGCTGCTGGCCATGGGGCACCGCGTCTACGTGCACTGCACCGCCGGGATCAATCGCGCGACGCTGACCACCGTGGGCTACCTCACCTTCGTCCAGGGGCTGGGGCTGGAGGAGGCGCTGCGCGCCGTGCGCGAGGCCAGGCCCCAGGCCCACCCGTACGTCGACTGCTGGAGAACGGTGCGTCGGCGCCTGGTGGAGGGACGGGGCGACGAGGTAGGCCACGCGGCCCGGGCCATATTCAACACGTGAGTGGAGGAAAGGGGGAAGGATGGGGTCGGCATTATGGCGCTGGGGGCCACTGAGCGTTCGATGCTGGTGAGGTTGTGGGGTGCGAGAGATTGGGGGCGCCCCTTGGATGAGGGAGCTCGCCCATGGCAAGGGGTACGGCAAGGAGTCTCGTGGTGGCCCAGGCTTGGGTTCTGGAAAGGGAGCTGGCCCATCCGAGACTCCAGCATCCGCCAAGGCGCCGAGCGGGGCGACGCAGAGCTCCCTGGTCCCCCGCCCCACCATCCATCCCCCGAGTGCATTCTCTGCCACAACAACTCAGGCGGGAGCAGCGCGGGAGGAGCGGGTCCAGCAGTGCCGACTGGGCGGCCGCTGAGGAGATCCTCATCCGCCGCACCTTCCAGCGCCAGGTGGCGGCCACCCTGTCCATCGTCAAGTCCATGCAGGCAAGTACGGGGCGGAGATGGCCGCCTTCCCTGGCAGAAAGCGTGCCGGCCCGACGCATGCCTGCTCGCCGAGGGTCGCAGGCAGTCATCGGCCCTGCGGTCCCTCCATCCCACTCGCAGAGGATAGCGGAGATTGAGGCGGATGCTGCGCAGGAGGCCGCGCAGAAGGCATCAACAGAGGCTACTGCCGGACAGGTGTGTGTGGTGTGGGGGGGGGGTCGGCCAAGCGCATGGCGACCAAAGGGCTGAGAGCGGCCGGGAATAGAACTGGCATCGCCTTGGGCAACCCCTGGAACAGCTGTGCTTGCCTCCCTCTCGCAGGCCACTTCCGGCATCGGGCAGAGCGGGATCCAGAGCGAGGCATCGCAGCACCAGGGTCTGCCCAGGTATGCTGGTGGGCGGAAAGGATGGGACTCTGCAGGGCAGTGGGGTGGGCTGCGGCAATGTGTCGTCCAACTCAGCATGCTGGCTGCTGTTCTGTGCTGTTGCCGACAGGCGTTCGGCCCTCGAGTCACATGGCGAGTCAGCACCCTACCCCACAGCAGCACACTCCTGGCCCCGGAGGAGGAGGCAGTCCCTCGCCCCGAGACTGTCCCAGTGCCTCGGGCATTTGCCATCCAGTGCGCTGAGGCGGAGGGCCGGAGGACGCTGGACTCCATCCTGCACGCCGAAGAGGAGGTGGCCAAGCTCCGGGTTGCCCTGGAGGCCCTCACCGAGTCGGCACAGCAGCTGCTGAGTGGCGAGCGCGGCGTCAGCGATGCACGTACCTGAAACTCAACCTCCAGTCCCTGACTTTTGCCTGTACCGCCCTTTTGCATCGAGTTGCATCTTGCATCGGGGGCGACCTGTGCATGCTCGCTGCCACCATGGCTGGGCAGCCCTGAGGATCCTGATCCTGCCTGCCATTGGGCAATACCGAGAGGAAGATGGTCCCTGATATCACCCTGCACCCATGTTGACATGTGAAATTCAACCACGCTAAGGATTATAGGCTGAAGGTGAGCAACTTCATGTACCAGAGGAGGTCAGCAACTTCACACCTGTTCCGGCGGCCGGCCGGCACAGGCATTTCCGAACAGGATCGGCCACTCTTGCACCGGATCTCGACAAACTCACCAGGTGAACCTTACCCAATCGTAGTGTTTGAACAAAGCATTGTTTCACAGATCGGTCCCCCGTCAATCCAGCCGGCCAGGCACGGCGATGCCGCAGTCGACGCACCCCCCGACCCCCGTGTGGCTAGACTGCGACCCGGGGCACGATGACGCCATCGCCATCCTACTTGCTGGTTACAGTCCCCAGCTGCACCTCCTGGGTATTAGCACCGTTGCAGGGAACCAGAGCGTGGAGAAAGTGACGGAAAATGCCAGGAGGGTCCTGTACGCTGCCGGGCTGGCAGGGGTGGAGGTGGTCCAGGGCCAGGGCCGGCCCGTCATGCGTGACCCCGTGGCCTGCGCCGAGATCCACGGCGACTCGGGCCTGGACGGCCCTAGTGGCGGGCCACTGCTTCCCCCTGTGCCTGTGGGGGCCGGAATCGGCCCCCACAGCACAGGCCCCACGGGCGCCCGCTGCACCGACACCGACATCAGTGCTCCAGCTGCTGCAGGGCCGCTGCAGCCGCGTGGCGTTGTCGTCATGGCAGAGCGCATCGCCGCAGCAGCGGCGCAGCGTGCACAGCGCGTGCATGTCGTCGCCACTGGGGCGCTGACCAACGTGGCCCTCCTGCTGACCCTGTTCCCCGAGATCGTGGACCGAATCGAGATCGTGTTCATGGGGGGCGCCCTCGGAACTGGGAATACAGGTGAGGAGGGGTCTCGGGTGGCATTCCAGAGCTGGCGCTCGCAATGCCGGGCAAGCAGGCAGCAGCGCCGGCTGTGCCGCCGCTGGGAGATGTGCGAGGCCCGTCACCCTGGCACTGTGTCCGCCCCCCCCCTCAAGGGCGCCCGGCAAGAACCTCCCCACGCCGTCCCACCCCTCACCCACGCCTCTACGCTCCACACGACACCGCTCAGGCCCCTCCACGGAGTTCAACATCCAGGTCGACCCCGAGGCCGCCGCCATGGTTATGCGCAGCGGCGCCCGCATCACCATGGTCCCTCTGGAGGTGACGCATACGGCACTGGTTGGCCCAGAGGTGGCGACAGCGGTGCTGGGAGCAGCCCCCGGCGGCGCCACCCCCTTCCGCCAGGCCATGCACGACCTGCTGCACTTCTTTGCCAAGACGGTGAGGCTCTGGCGGCCCGGGCCCTGAGGTTGTGAGGCTGTGGTGTGGGGAGGGGCTGCGAGCCAGCCCAGGCTGAAGATGTCATCTTGACTCAGATGGGGCTGGGGCGCCACATTGGCGACTGGGCCGCAGTCCATGGGGCGCGCCGGGCCACTCGATGACCACCCTGCCTCTGTGCCATTGCCTGCGCTATGCCCTCCTGCTTTCTACCTGACATCCGTACCGTAAACTCCACTCGCCTGCCCCCTAGTACAAGGAGGTTTTCGATTTCGTGCACCCTCCGCTGCACGACCCATGTGCTGTGGCGTATGTCATTGATCGCAGCCTCTTCAAGGTAGGGTGCATGGGAAACCTTCACAGCTGGGCGCATTTGCAACGCACCTGGTCCCCCTCACGACAGCTCTCTCCTCTCACCTCGACAGGCGTCGCACTTGAGAGTGGATGTGGAGACGCACAGCGTGCTCAGCGCTGGTCAGACCGTCACTGACCTCCGACGCACGACCGGCCGGGCCCCCAACGCCACCGTCTGCCTGGTAGGTTGTCCAGGGGGTGGGAGCAACACCCATGCACGGCGTGGGAGCCATGCGATGCCAGAATTCCAATCCTGGTTGAGGGGGGCCCACTTCCCTATGCAAATTCGCCGAGATCCATCCACCACACCATGTAGGCCATGGATGTCGCTGCATTCTGGCGGCTGGTGCTGGATGCCATTGCTGCAGCAGATGCACGCTCGCCGTTGAACAACAACTAAGATGGCCACCGTGACCAGGGGGAGAAACCCCTTATCCCAAGCCCCTCATACGCAGCGTAATATTTATGCCCGTTAGGATGCTGAATGAATATGAAATATCTGAAAGTTGACCTGCCTGCGGTGTGGTGGGTAGACCTGCACTGCCCTCTGCCGTGGATGCATGCATTGCGTGATGATAAGAGGTCGTCCTCATCAGGGCCTGAAAATGGTGAGCACCATGGAGCCAGAGTGTTGACAAAATCGTACAAATCATTCGTGCCGTCTATCTGATGCTCGAGTGTGCTACATAATCTTGTTGTATCAGGGTTCGGGTGAGCATAATTCCTTTGTGTGCCCCGGCAACCACAGTCCAGCAGGCGGCCCCCAATGTGGCGCGACCTATTCGATTGGAGGCGGTGCTCCCTCACGGGAGGATAAGCCATGACCACGACCACCGAAATCACATTACAGCGACGTGCAAGATCACGTTTGGGTGCTATCCGTCGATTGCGAAGCCTGAGTGGCTGGCAAAGCGCCAGCGATGGCAGCTCCGCTGGGTAGACGTTCCTGGTATGGTGGACTCCGGGTCCCAGTCACACCCACCTCACCCACGCTTTCCCGGACCACCGAAAGGGTTAAATGGGGATAAACTAGTCTCAAACTGGGTTGAGAAGGGGGCCAGACGAATTTGTACTGCAGCTGAGCTGCACATGGGCGCCCTGCAACCCATGGAACCACGGTGGCAGCTGGGTGGGGAAGCTGGAATGGCCCCGCGACACACTGGAACGCGGGCTAAACGTGTGTTTACAAATCGTATCGCAAAGCTCACGTGGTGCGGAGCCGAGCAATACGTCCGCTTGCTCATGGGGACTGGAGAAAGCAAGAACGCGGCAGGACTGACCTCTCAGTCAGACTGCTCAGCCTCGATGCCTTCGATCAATCGTGTGACAACTTGAACATGAGAAGCGTAAGAAGATGAAGAGCACACGGATCGACCAACGAGTGCGGTAATGTTGAACAATTAAATGTACGAATGCACTTGGTTCAGCCAAATCAGATCCTCGGTGTCATTCTTGATGAAGCTTTCGGTTGGAGAAATACTTGATAGCGCCGTCGCTTCTGAATGATGAAGCACTGCATTTCGTCCTTTATCTTGTCTCTTGCACAATGGCCTTATGCGTAAAGCAATTTTATAGCGTATAGTACTGAGCTGGAGCTTTGCTGTCTTCACCTATGCAATGGGAGTATTCTCTTGTGCACGATGCGGGTGTCATTCAGAACGCTCCGATCCTCCAGAGTCCATGTACAGGGGGGCATGATGTCAACAGGCTAGTGTGTTGCCGAGTATGCATAGCGAGCTATGTACTGGGCAGCACACCTGCAGTTGACTCTCTCTACGGGGCATCACAAGTACTGCTCATGAAATGCAGACAGGTGTGAGCACCACCCACGGGCAAGGTGCATATTATAGTCCCTAAGTTATTCGGTTTCTAATAATGTGAAGGTCCTCCCAAGTATAACTGTGCCCTGATCACAAGCGTGTTTCATGTTCGATGATCCCTTGAAGCACGATCGAGCATTCTGTAGTACTGTGCAAACAATGCTGCGCAAGCAGTCAGATCCATTGTTACCGAGAAGCATCACTCAACTTTCAGCCAGACCAAATTGGACTGAGATCGGCCAGAGGTAAGACTCACAACCTTGATCCCACCGAGGGTTCACGAGTCGTCACCCGGCCATACTGAGGGGGAACAAGCCATGCAGAGACCCGGGTCGGTTTCGACAGGCGCACAACGCTCTCAAGCAAGCTTTCATGCATTCTGAAAGGCATTAGGAGTTTCACGCTCCTGTCCGCGGGGCAACACATGCAGGGTCAGCTCGTAAACCGGTGGTCGCGTGCCAGACCACGTGATTAGCTGTCAGACGCAGACCCCGCGTGCGCCGCCGATCAGATAAAAGCTCGGCCTGACAGAAGAGCAGGTACTTTCCCACCTTTGCCAGACATCCTTGCTCCGGGCCGCCACCAATCGGTACTCGTTTTCACAGCAGTTCTGCGTGTCGACAAGCGTCATCATGCAGTACAGCAAAGCAATGGCCATGGCCGTACTGGCTGTTGCCCTCCTCGCCGCACCTGTCGGCGCTGTGAAGGCCATTACCGACTGGGAGGACGCCTTGTGAGTGGATGGATAGCATGATAGTGATTAAATGAAGCTTCGTTGTCCTCCTCATGCTTGTCAAGCTTTGGTTTCCTCGGTCTGACAGTTGGTTACAAATCACCTGTCCAACCCCGCAGCATCACCCACTACGGCGGCTCCCAGGACGGCATGGATCCCAGTTCTCCGTCCTTTGGAACCTCCGAGGTAATTATTCAGCGCTGCTCTTGTGTTCGCCCTGCTCCATGTCGGTCATTGGCAGGGCCCATGATGCCCCCATGTCGGCCGCTCGGCTCGTGGGACGGGCTGACGGTTGCCTCGCGCAGCATGCACCCGATCCCGATCTCCGGCTCTCACCCACGATCTTCCTCCTCCACAGGGAGCTTGCGGATATGGAAGCATTTCCAAGGATGCCTACCCCTACTTCTCCGTGGCTGCCTTCTCACCTTCCAACCACTACTACCAGTCCGACGCCCTGAAGGCCTGCGGTCAGTGCTTCCAGATCCAGTGCGAGGAGGGCCGTAACGGCAAGACTGGCGTGTGCAAGACTGATGCCCAGGGCGAGCCCCTGTCCATCCTGGTCATGATCTCCGACGTGTGCCCCGAGTGCGAGGCCAACCACATCGACGTCCAGTCCCTGGCCTTTGGCAAGGTGTGTGCGCTATGCCTTGGTGTCGTCAACAGATTGTTTCTTTCAAATGGCATGCCCTGCTCTGCTTGCCCTCCCTAAGGGCCATCCTCACTGGCTGTGTGCATTCCCATCATGTGCACCCCACCCTATGCTCCTCCTCCCATCATCATCTCTCACCTTCTCTCCCCACCTTCCCCTCCATACAGCTCGCCGATCAGGGACTGGGCAACATCGACGTGCGCTACCGCCGCGTCGAGTGCGCCGTGCCCGAGAACATGAAGGTGTCTGTCATGAACTACGACGGCGCCGGCCAGTGGCTGCGCCTGTCCATCGATGACACGGGAGGCTACGCTGCGGTCAAGTCTGTCTCCGTCAAGTCGTCGTCCTCCTCCTCCTGGACCACCATGAGCAACACCTGGGGCGCGGTGTGGGAGGACGGCTCCGCCCCCCAGCCCCCCCTGGACTTCCAGATCGAGTGCGCCGATGGCCAGGTCGTCTCCGCCGACTCTGTGGTCAAGCAAAACGGCGGCATCTCCGGCGGCGTGGGCGGCGCCATCTCCTTCTCCACCTCTGTCCAGTTTGCCATCACCGACCCCGCCGCCAGCGCCGTCTCTGCCTTTGATGGGCCCGCCGATCCGATGGTCGTCACCTCCACCACCCCCGGCAACTCTGACGCCGCCACCGGTGCCTCCTCCGGCAACGCCACCGCCACCGCCACCGCCAGCGGCAACTCCTCCGGCAACACCACCGGCACCACGAGCGCCTCCGGCTCCTCCGCGTGCGTCGACATCCCCGCCCCCGGCTCCTTCTCCTGCGCGGAGCAGCAGGGCTGGGGCAAGTGCGAGGACAGCACCTTTGTCAGCAGCAACTACTGCGCGCTGACCTGCGGCCGCTGCGGTGCCAACGCCACCGCCTCCCCCTCCACCGCCTCCCCCACCACCGCCTCGCCCGCCGCCGGCGACAGCTCCTGCTCCGACGTCACCCCCTCCGGCGGTGTGTCCTGCCAGCAGCGCAAGGACTGGGGCCAGTGCAGCCAGAGCTGGCTCACCAGCGGCAGCTACTGCCAGGCCACCTGCGGCAGCTGCGGCAGCAGCGCCTCCGGCAGCAGCCCCGCCAGCAGCTCCTCCCCCAGCACCTCCGGCAGCTCCGACTGCCAGGACACGCCGCCCTCCGGCGGCTCCACCTGCGAGCAGCAGCTGCAGTGGGGCGCCTGCAGCCAGGGCTGGATGACCAGCGGCAACTACTGTGCCGCGACGTGCGGCCGGTGCGGCTCTGGCGCCAGCACCAGCCCCGCCCAGGTGTCCTCCTACTCGGGGCCTGCAGGGCGGCGGCTCCTAAGAGCCTGAGCGGATCGCGGCGGGCGCCCAGTGGCGGCGCCGCCCTGCCAGTACTCCCTCTCAGCCCAGCCCCCCGGCCATTCGGGGGACGGAGGCTGCTCACTTCACTGTTTACATTGCGCTCACGCCCCGACCTTCACCTCTCAAGGAGCGAGCGAGCCTCTTCACTGTCATCATTACGTCCAGTCACCTTGTGGGTCCGCTTCATAGTCCTTTTCTGGTAGATGTGGTGGGTGTGCAAGCATTAGTGAGAAGTACCCTTGCCCCAAACACTGATAATGAATGTTGGGATGGACGGAAGGTGGCACGCCATGTAGATACCCCAGGTCCCCCCTCCCCCCTCCCAACCTATTTTCCAATCCCAACCACCCAGCTTGCTCCTCAAACTCATTGCTCTCTGCTGCTCTATGCCCTTCCTGCCGCTGTAATCCCTCGCGGAGTCAGATTCGAAGTTTGATGACGAGCAAGGAGTACCAAGGGGAGGGCAAAGAGGGTCATGTGCGGTTGATACAACCACTGCGAGCATGAGAAGTGATTCACCTCATGCCGGCAAAGGTGCGTGCACGGCCTCCAGCCGGGTCAAGGCCCACTGGCAGGTTGCCAGGGAGGGCAGCAGCATGGTACCTGCGCCCATAAGCTCCCGTAGCTTCGAGACACTGACGCTCAGGACCTGGAATGAAGGGTGAAGGGGGAGTCTAGAGGTTGGTCCACCAAGCCTCATCTCGTCAAGCTGGGGGTCAGTGGGGCACCATCCACGCCTGGAAGCCCGGCGGTGGAGCAGTCGTCGCCCGCACTCAGGACCCTGCCAGTACCTGGATGGTGCTTTCCTCGGCATCGCGTGGCCTGGGCTGCATGGCAGGCCGGGGCCCGATGCAGAGGAAGGGCGTGAAGCGGTTGGCGCACCACTTGGTCTCCGGCACCCCCACGTGCCCAGCCGGCAGTAGGCAGTGCCATGTGCCGCCCTCGAGGTGGGCCTGGCAGGCGGATGGAGGGGGGCCCCACAGCTTGAGCAGGAAACAGTCATGGGTGGTGGTGCCACTGGATGCTGCTTTGCAAGAGGTATCAGAAAGCCATCATCCCACCAGAGTAGGACAGGGGCCTGACGAGAGTTGTTTCTTGCCAGAGGTGCCAGGTCTCCCCTCCAGAAAACAAGATACAGGTGGGGCCCCCAGAGGAACCCCCACTCAAGAGTGTCTAACACCATGCAAGCAAGTACCTCCTCTGAGAGCTCTGCTCGAGCGCAAGCCTCCCACGACGTATGCTTCTGTGGGTCATAGGAGCCTGACGGCAGGCAGTGCATGATACAGTTGGGGCCCTGGGCATACTCGGTCAGCATCGTCACCTGGAGGGGATGGGAGCGCCCAATAGAAAGGGTGTGGGATAGAGCCAAGGAGTCAAGCGGTGCATGCTGGCAGATGGGACCAGCCCAGAGGGTCTCCTCACACATGAGGCTCAGCTGCGGGCGACAGGATGCCCATGTCCCACCGGCACCCACCTGTCCATCGGCCAGGCGGCCTGAGGGGCTGGGGTGGAATGCAAAGACGACGCAGAAGTGGAAGTCGGCAGCAGGGTGTCCGACCACGTCGAAGGAGTGCACGTTCCCCTAGCGCACCGGGCATGGGCGGGGGTGGTCCTGGACTTGAGATGGAGCCGGTCACTTGGGACCCCCGGCCGGGTGTACCCACCCAACCGCACAGAGTACACACACCTCCGGGTACCGCACGACGCGATCATACAGCGTGAGGTAGCGTTTATGCACGACTCTCTCCTCGAGAATGTCGAAGCGATCGCTGGGGAGCTGATCACGAGGCGTGCCAACGACTCTGGCGGGTGGCATCAACTCGCGAGAGGGTGCTGGTGCACGGTTCAGGGCACAGGCTGGCCAGTGGAGGCCAGTCGTAAGCATCACGTTGGGTTCAGATCAGAATATCTTGAAGTGCTGCTGGATCGAGATGACGAAGTGTTTTGGGATTGGGCTGCCAAACCCAGCTGGGGAGAATGCCTGCTCCCTCAGGGGGGCATTGTAACGGGAGAGCTGCGCTATAACTCGAATCTTTAGATGACTGCTTCCCCCAAGCACTGGAACGGCAGCCTACATCGCATGTAGAAGCTGGGGATGAAAGCGTGTGTAATTGGTAGGTAGTCTTGGTTGTGGGCAACTAGGCACTTCGTATCTACACCAGGCCGCCCACTCCTTCGTCAAGCGCCCACGTTGTAAGATTCCACGAGTCCAGGGCATGTATATCTAATGTGTCTGCTCACTCACTTGGTGAGAAGGCATACCTTGTAGAGGATTCTGCCTGAGACATGCCAAGCACAGTTTTAGTAATTCCCCGCCGCCTGATGGCTGATGTGGCGCCCCGTGAAAGGTTTTACGGTACAGTAGCACTAAACGACCTCCCTCGAGTTTATATACATAACTCCTGAGCCTGCTCACGCCAGTGCATACAACTCGTGTTCCTCTACACCCTCTTGATATTCTTTGACCGTGGTCGCGGCCCACTTCCAAGTTCGAGGTAGGGTCTGGCGTGGGCCGTTATCCGGAGAGTGCGTCACGGGTGGGAGCCGGCAGGCTGGCGTGCGAAGGTTGCCCTGCATACGCCACAGGCCAGCATCTTGTCGCACACCCCGCGCCCACGCCGTGGCCGGGGCTATGGGACGGAGTGCCGGGCCTGCGTCGACGGCTGGGCGGAGGCCAGGCCCCGGGGCCTCATGTGGTCGCCCCCTGCTCCAACCCCGCCAATGCCCGCACCACCCTGGCATCGCAAGCTTGCATTCAAAAGCACATCTGGATCCTGGTCTGAGTCTGCTCCGCACCCTTGTACCCCTCCCCAGGTCCCCCGCCCCAGATCACCATGTCCGAGGCCAAGAAGTCGCCCATCAACCCGGTCTGGGCCGCCATCAAGCCCTTCGTGAACGGTGGCCTGTCCGGCATGGGTGCCACCTGCATCATCCAGCCCGTGGACATGGTGAAGGTGCGGCTGCAGCTGGGCGACAAGGGCTCCCCCCTGACCATTGCCAAGAACCTGGCCAGGTCCCAGGGCGTAGGCGCGCTGTACCGCGGCCTGTCGGCGGGCCTGGTGCGCCAGGCCACCTACACCACCGCCCGCCTGGGCCTGTACAACTACATCTTCGAGGCGGCCAAGGGGCTGAATGAGGGCCGGCCGCTGCCGCTGTGGCAGAAGGCGGTGTGCGGGCTGTCCGCCGGCGGCCTGGGCGCGCTGGTCGGCTCCCCCGCCGACCTCACGCTCATCCGCATGCAGGCCGACACCACGCTGCCCGCGGAGCAGCGCCGCAACTACAAGGGCGTGGGCGACGCCTTCCTGCGCATCGCGCGCGAGGAGGGCGCGTCGGGGCTGTTCACCGGAGCGGGGCCCACTGTGGTGCGCGCCATGGCGCTCAACATGGGCATGCTCGCCTCCAACGACCAGGCCAAGGAGCTGCTGGAGGAGTGGGGCTTTGCCAAGGGCGGCAGCGTGGTGACCCTGGGCGGGGCCACCATCGCCGGCTTCTTCGCCTCCGCCTGCTCCCTGCCCTTTGACTATGTCAAGACCCAGCTGCAGAAGCAGAAGCCCGACGCCAACGGGAAGCTGCCCTACTCCGGGGCTGCGGACTGTGCGCTCAAGACGCTCAAGGAGGGCGGCGTGCTCAAGTTCTACACCGGCTTCCCCACCTACTTCATCCGGATCGCTCCCCACGTCGTCCTCACCCTGTCCTTCCTCTCCGCCCTCCCCAAGCTCCAGGCCAAGTACGGCCTCTGATCGCGGCCACGCCCGGAGCCGAGGGGTGAGGCAGCGGCGCTCACCAGCGCTCGACAGTGCAGGATTCTGGTGCGGGACCCCCCCCCGGGGGGGGGGGATTGCGATGGCCAGCTCTCCCGCGGGATGAGTGGGAGGCCCGCCCACTTTGAACACGGCGCCCTACACCCTCCCTTCACTCTGCTCACACGGTGGGGCAGTTGCCACATCCTGCGACCCTTATTGCTCCCTTAGGATATCGAGCCCCCCACTGTACACCATATCCACTCTGACAGCGCGGGTAAAAATAATGACGCCATGAGGAAGGGAGAACAGGGACACAAGCGCTAGGGACAAGGAGCAGGCAGTGGGAAGCAGGACGGTCAGGTACCGAGTATTTCGGGCGCCAGCCGTTCAGGGGGGAGGCCGGAGGCGATGGCGCACTCGGCTGCGCGCGTCAGAGCGTCGACCGGTCCGGGTGGGATGGCCGGGTGGATGCGGACCTATGAGGGGAAAGACAGTGGTGGCAAGAACTCAATAACCTGATCCCGGAGCAAGAGCCGATGCGCTTACATTGGAAGAATACACCCGGGGTGACTGAAGGCCCATCCTTCCCTATACCCAGCTCACATGGACCGTGCCGGGGAAGAGGAGGTACTCGCGTGAGTTGGGCATGAGGTCCCCTGTTCCATCCAGGGTGATGGGCACCACAGGAACGTTGTGCCGGGAGGCCACGACAAAGGCGCCCTGGCATAGAGCAGCGGGGAGGACTGATGAACGATGGTTTCGTGACATCGCTGTCCGCAGGCGCATCCAAAGAGTGGCACCGCACAGAGTGCCCCGCAAGCGCCAAGCAAGGGGAAAAGATCACGCTTGTCAAGGCGCACCCTCTTGAAGGCATGCAGCTTGCCGTCCTTGCTGCGGGTGCCTTCCGGGAAGAAGGCGACGGACGTGCCACGCTCCAGCATCATCCCGCAGTCCTTCAGACACTTTTGCTGTGACCTCCGATCCATCCTGTCAAGCTGAATGTGACCTGGTGAGGGTGTAAAGATGTAGTGGGTGTGTAGGTGCCTGAAATGCCAAAAGGAGATCCCCACGGGGCACCTGACACCGGATGTCCTGGCCTGCAGTAGCCGGAGCAACCTGAACTGCCCCTGGATGGGTAGCAAAATGATGCACAGTCATCAGCGTGACACCCCCTGCCCACCTGTGAGGAACATCGACCATCCAATGATGGGGATGAAGAAGTTGGCAGTCTTGGACACAAATTTGAAGTCTCGGTTGATGTGAAAGAGCGTCGTAATATCCTGCAGAGTTGCAGGCGTGGGGGGGAAGATTGCAGGGAAAAGAGCTTGGTCCATCAAAATATCCCCAGAAAGACATTACTTGGCACCTGACACCACAGAAACCCAGTGCCAGGGCCATTCTGAACGGTAGGCCCCTAGCACAGCCGCCACCCTGCTGAACTCACAAGGAAGCTCTGGTGGTTGGCAACATAAACAGCTGGCTGCTCTTGTGGCGGCAGATTCTCAAGGCCAGAGATGACGACGCGATAGAAGGGGAAGGAGCTGATCTTGGCCCAGAGCGTGTTGAAGAAGTGCTGCGCTTTCCTCCTGCGATTCCCAGTGTGTGGTTGGGTGGCAAGTTTACAAGGGTGAGCAGGGAAGACGTCATGCTTGCACACATCTTGGCACCGCCATCTGTCCCCATGGCAGCACCTGGTCCGATCAAAAGCGAGCACGTAGGGTGTCAGGAAGACCATGATGACAAAGAGGGGGCCCGCCCAAGCAAAGGTGTTGAGGTAGAAGAGGAAGGCACGAAACGCTGCCAGGGCACCTTTCAGACCTTGAGGGAAGGGTAGTGGCTTGAGGGATTAGGCTGGGCAGGGCACGACCCTTGTTGGTACAAAAAGGAGAGGTATACGCAGGCTAAAGCCACCAGTACCTACCTCTGGTGTCCACAAATATGGGTTGCATGGCAGCGGTAAAGCCAGTGGGATCGCCAGCATTGGAGGCATAGCTGCCCACCCTGCCTCCCCTATCTTGGTTAGTACTTCTGACTTCGCGGCCCCAGGGGCAGTGCCCGCATCTAGACCATTTGTGGGCCGCTGATGGATTGCTCCGATACGTAAACTCGGCATGGAGTGGCGTGGGGAATCTTGTTGACCCTCTCCTTGCGGGTGGCACCGCCGGTTGGAGGCCGACCAATTGGGCTGTCGGCCGGGCGTTGGAGCCCTGAGGGACCAGGCCACAGCGTGGGATTAGCATGCTCATACCTTTCCCATGAACGCTGTTCTGTCCCGAACTCGCTAGTCGCAATGTATCGTCCCACTGCTGGCCATGCACCCCCTGGCAGGCTTCCCGGCGCGAACGCCACTTCACCACAGTGGATGCCTGTCGACCCTTTTCAGAGGCTTCGAATGATGAGATTTTCCCCTTGAAACTCAGTTGGAAGAGGTCTGGGCATTTCCGAGGTCCTTTCCGCGAATGTAGCGGCGGGGAAGGGGGGCTATCCCCATGTCGGCGAGTAGGGAGAGTCACCATGGCCAAAGACATGTGCTGCACGACAGGAAAGGCGGGGAAGAGCTTATTGGGTGTCACCTTGCATGCACTGACAGGCGGGTGATTCATTTGAAAAGAGGTGCGCTTGGGAAGATCAGATCGGCGTCGTGGCCTCAACTCTGGACTGCCCGCAGGACGTCAGGCCCCAGCTTATCCCGGGGGAGGCCCGACGCCACGGCGGCCTGGGCCGCTGCCATCATGGCGACCGCCTGGCTGGGCGGGACGGCCGGGTGCACCCGGACCTGTGCGGTGAGCGTGTACGCAGGGGGCACCGTGGGTGCATTGGGCTGGAGGAGCTGCAAGGAGTACAGCACACCCTCAGGCGCTCAGGCGCCCAACACAGCCGGGCAGACCTTGATGGTTCCTGAAAATAGCCTGCCCTCGGCGCCAACGGGCATCAGCTCCCCTGTTCCCTGGAGCGTGATGGGGACCACTGGCACCTTCCTCTTGGCTGCCACGGAGAAGGCCCCCTGCAGGAGCATGGCAACAGGCATCGAACATGGTAGAATCTCCACCGCAGCAGATAGATTCTCGGGACAATTACTTGCAACCCAGGATCCCAACCCCACCCATTCTTTCTAGTGTGAGACACATTCGTTGGATGCCAGCAGGGCCGAGCCGGGTTCCCCTGTCATCAGGTTTCAGCCATGCAAGCCTGTGCCCAATCGCCACTCCCCACAGCGCACCTTTTTAAAGGCGTGCAGCTTGCCGTCCTTGCTCCGCGTACCCTCAGGGAAGAAGAGGACAGAGGCGCCGGAGCTGAGCAGGTCCCCGCACTCCTTCAGGCACTGCATCTGGGACCGGCTGTCCATGCGATCGATCTTGACATGGCCTGTTGAGGTAAGGACGGGCATGGCGGCAGGTGTGAGGCAGCGAGAGACTAGGGGGACAACACGTGGTGCAGCGAGACCCCTGCACCTGCCGTTCCCCAGCCCCTGCCCCCTCGCATGGTCTGACCCATCTCCAGCGCCAGGGACGCATGCACAGCCCCATCCCACTGCGCACCTGTCAGATACATGGTCCACCCGATGATGGGGATGAGGAAATTGGAGGTTTTGGAGATGAACTTGAAGTCGCGACGAATGTGGAAAAGGGTGGTGATGTCCTGCGGTGAGGGTTTTGAGGGAGGGCTGGACTTGAATGGGCTAGAGGGAATCCCCAGGTCCGGCAGCACAGCGTGAGCCACGAGTGCCGTCTCGCCATGTTGAGTGCCGCCAGGGTGAGCCGCACCCCACATGCTCTCCTCTTTCCCCCATCTCCCTGGCGCCACCTTCCTCACCAGGAAGCTCTGGTGATTGGCGACATACACGGCCGCGCAGTCGGAGGGCGGAAGGTGCTCCAGCCCTGTCATCTCCACGCGGTAGAATGGCCATGCGCTGAGGCGGGCCCAGACCGTGTTCCAGACGTGCTGCGCCCTCCTCCTGTGGCAACGAGGGACAGCACATCCCAGGTGACTCAGTGTGCGAGGGCAGCGTGCAAGGGACCGCACCCTGAGCGGACATGGCCGTGATCATGGAGACTGCCATGGCCGATCCCTTCGCTCCCCAGGACCGTGCACTGCAGGACCGCAGGACCTGTGCTTGTCAAAGAGGAGGACAAATGGGAGCTGCAGGAGCAGAATGAGCAGGATGGGCGTGGCCACAGCGAATGTGACTACGTAGAAGAAAAAGGCACGGAGCACTGCCAGCGGCTTGGATGCATGGGCTGCAGGGTGAGGGGGACGGGCAGCGTTGTTGCCTGGAATGAGGAGCAGACCATTCTCAACATGCTAGGGAGGATTTCACCCCTCATGAGCATTGCAAGGATTCCTATTAAACAAGAGCAGACTCACTTGTGTCGTTGAGAGGCCCGGTTGGCTCATCTGGGCAGGGAAGGAGGGGGGAGGAGGCCTCGAGCACCTCCGAATCGCGGCCATCGGCCTCCGGAGCCGATTCGCTGCAACAGGCGCCTTGCACCTGCGCGGCCGCGGGTACTATTCCTTGCCGCAGGGGATGTGCCTCAGCAGAAAGTCCATGCAGTTGCCGAGCATGAAGGGCATGCTTTGGAGGTGGGGCGCTCCTCGCAGGTACAGCCACTGTGCGCCGGGTGTCTCGCTGTCCGGCGGAGGTGGTGGGACGGTGGCCACGTCGACGAAAGTGGAAGGGCGCAGGGCAGGACACCGATTGCTGTCTCAGCGACTGCATCCGGTGCCCTGTATGGAGTGTTGTGGGACGTATGGCGAAGGTTGGGGAGAAAGAAGCCCTTTCTGCGTGGGAGGGTGCCCACCAGCCTGGCGTGGATCACAAATCGACTCGGGTATTCCCAGTCGTGCAAAGGGCGTACGACCTTTTGACTCGGATATTCCTCGTCGAGTCCCAGGCATTCGACGATACGACAACGCAAGCGCTTTCGGCCTCGAGTGTTGTCGACGTTTGGGGCCCCCCCCCCTCTGCGGCAACAACGAATCTGATACATTCCGCGTTTCCACCCCTCGGCCATCAACGGAGTTGCTGGACCCCAGCAGCATGTGGGGTGGACACGCACCTCGTGGCCAGAGGGACTTCAGGCCAGTACCTTGCTGTATATATCGAGGTACTCCTCTGTTGGGCCATCCCAGCTCCACGCATCGCCATCGTCGAGGACCCGCAGCACGAGGCCTTGCCACTCGCCCGGGCGCTCCCTGTAGTCTGCCATCGCGCGCCCCACTGCCGCCTGCACCGCCCCACCATCCATGCCCTGGAACACGTAGCCATTACCGCCCTGCAGCGTTTGGGAATGGAGGATCTTTTTATTGGACACGGGAGACAACGTCGACTCACTCCGAATCAGCACCTGGAGTGCAGAGGGCCATGCAGCCCCCGGCGCAGCCCTCCCAGGATCACCACAGAGACGGGACCCACGTCTCCAGAGGCCACGTCCTTCACGGTGTCAGCCAGTCCTCCAGTGGCTCTGACGATCGGGATCGCTCCATACCTATGGTGTGGTGGTGAGGTTGATGAGAAGGATTTCGCGCCGGGCCTGCAACCCCTGCCCATGCCACGCACAGGCCACGGCTCCGCCACCCCACCTCAGCGCAATGAGCTGGGTCAGGCCACAGGGCTCGAAGAGGGAGGGCACGAGGAACATGTCGGCCGCGGCGTAGATGAGGTGGCTCAGGGGCTCCGAGTACATGAACAGGCACTGCACATCGGCATTGTCCCTGCGGGGCAAGCTGATGGCGTTGAAGTGAGGTGAGTCTGGCATGCGCACGAGCCTGTCAACATCTCCCTAGAGGTCAGCTTGCATGCCAAGATCCCTGTGGCTCAATGTCGCTGTGCAGGTGAGCGAGCCCTTCCCAGAGGCTCCCTCCCTCCCCAGCCCACCTATACTGCTCCTCCGCCGCTCGCCGCAACGCCCCGTCAGCATGCCCCGACCCCAGCAGCACAAATTGTCCGCCTGCCCACAGGGGAACATGGATGACTCTGTTGCCGACTGTGGCTGCTGCTGCCGGCACAAGCCCGCAGATCCCAATCACTGTACAGGAGAGGGGGATGCAAGGGAGCGTCTCACGATTCTCCCTGCAGCCTTCCCCTCGCAGCAGCCCCTCACCGTGCTGAGCGATGTGGTGCAGGGCGGCTTCCATCAGGTGGATGCCCTTCTGCGGCACCAGGCGGGACACGACGGCCACCAGGGGCTTGTCTGGGGCGACACTCATGCCCAGCCCCGCCTGGAGGAAGCGCTTGCAGAGCGCCTTGCCCCGCGGGGAGGCGCCAGAGAAGGGCGCCGGCAGCGTCGCGTCCTGAGCCGGGTCCCAGCTCTCCGTGTCGATGCCTGCAGCAAGGTCCAAAGTGGGGATTCATGGACTGGAGGGCATGACCGGAGGTTCAGGGATCAGACGAGGGGAGGTGGGAGTAGGTGCATGCTCCATAGGGACACGGACGTGCTTCATTGGCAAACGCTGGCAATCGGTGTCGGCCACAACCCAGCTGCATCGCCACAATCCCCCCCTCCCTCCCCGCCCACCATTGATGATGCCGGTGAACTTGGCTGCGATGTGCGGCTGGGCCAGTGTGGATTTCAGGAAGCCAGCAGCCCCTGCAGGTCCGGAAAGGTTCATCTACTTTGTAGATGGGAGAGCATTCCCTTTCCATACTTTGCCCTAGAAAGCTGGTCAGAGACTATAAGGGCTCACACACCACAAAGCCCCTGCTCTCCTCCTCCCAGTCATTCCACCGTTCCCAGTCCACCCAGCACCAACGTCATTACTAATCCCCTTCGCTGGCCCACCATCGCGGACCGCCTCGCGTGCGTAGTTGGGGCTGACGGTGGTCACGGCGTTGGCATACACGATGCCGCCCTTCAGCAGGCACAGGCGCTCCGGGTTGTGCCCGACCGTGCGTTCATCCAGCGCACGGTCCACAGACGCAAACGCCCCGCCGGCCATGCCTGCGTGGCGGCAGGAACGAGTCGCCAAAAAGAGGGGAGCTTCGAAGGTGAGGACGCACCGCAGCGTGCCGGGCGGGTGGTGTCCGCCATGCCAACGCGCGGGTCGTGGCCCGCCCATCAGGCAGCCGCCAGCGCGCATGCCATGCCCATGCACCGAATCGACGCCGCCCCCTTGGACCCCAGCACCTGTGTGCAGGAACTCGTCCTGTCGGCACTCGCCAACCGAGTCAAAGTTGTGGATGGTGAGCACCAGCCGTGTGCGGGGCAGGTTCGCGGAGTAGGCCTCCCAGAACAGCATGGGCACCGCCCCGGTCTGCCATTCGTGGCAGTGCAGGACATCGGGCCGCCGGTCCAGCACCCGCACGGCCTCCAGCGCCGATCTGGGAGCCGGAGGGTCATGGGAGGGGGGGGGGGGAAGGGTTGATGTCGTGGGCCTCTTCACGACACAGGGTGGCATCATAAGCATTGCCATGCCGCACGCCTGGCACCCTGCTCCTCCTTTGCCTGCACACTGCCATGCGAGACACCCGAGTGTCTTGTCAGACCTGGAGTATTGAGGCACTTCCCCCCCCCTTCCCTCTCCTTCTACAGAGCAACAACAGCCAGTACCCCACCTGCTAAAGTGCAGGTAGGCCTCTGTCTCGTTGTAGGCGCCGCCGTACACGCTCTGGCCCTGGAACAGGCTCCCCTGGTCGACGGGGCGCAGCAGCAGCACCCTGCACCCCTCCACCGTGGCAGTGAAGGCCTCGCACCTCGCCAGGCCGTTGCCCTGTGCAGGGCGAGAGGGGGAGAGGAGGAAGGGGGGTCAGAGATTCAGAAGGGTTTGAAAGGTCATCGCAGAGTTCATCACCCCCCATGCTAAGCAGACAGAGCTTCCACCAGCATGTTCCTGGACACAGCCAAAGTAATTATTCCCTCTGACCTAGGACCCCTCCCGGCGGCGCACTGCCAGGCGTCTCTCTGTAGTCACCATACCTTGGGCACATTAAACACCCCGACCGAGCGGGCATCCCTCACGTCTGGGGAGCCCTCCAGGAACGCGTAATAGGGCAGCACCACTTCCACAGAGTGCCCACGAGCTGCGGTGGCCTTGGACAGCCCGGTGACCACATCCGCCAGGCCTCCTACCTGCACCCCAGTGCAAGTGGATGGGTGGGGGGACGAATCGGGTTCAGGGTGCCTGGCATGTGCGACACAGGGGATGATCATTGGATGATACCCTGCGTCACAGATTCAGCAATGGCAGTCGCCGCACCCCCACCCACCTTGGCAATGGGAGCCATCTCGGCGGCGATGTGGATGATGGTGAGGGGCTCGGCGGCCGTCGCAGGGGGGCCCTCCTTCCCCGGCGGGCCTGGCAGGGACAGCGGGGCCTTGCGTGGCGGGCGCTCCCAGAACCTGTCCTCCCGCCCCTGTGGCCAGACGATGCCGGCCTCGAGCTCTGCGAGGCTGGGCAGGGATTTGCCTGTGAGGGGCAATGGAGCGTGCTGGGGATTGATCAGGCTCAGAGCCGGGAGCATGATTTTAAATCAGAAAGGGTTTCTATGACCCCCTCAGCACTACCTTTGGACTGGTGGGGGTCCGGGTCCTCCCTTTTCCGTCTTGGAGACGCCGGGGCTCGTGCCTGGGGGCTCGGTGGGGCGGGCGCAGAGGCATCCTGCGCGCGCTTGCCACCTGAAGGCAGGAGCCCAGCCCGTGCCAGCTGCACACGCAGAGCACTGTTCTCAGCCCGCAGCTGTTTGACAAGCGCCATCAAATCGGCATCAGATGCCTGTTTCTTGGCCTGCGCGGGGAGGATCAAACGGGTTGAAATTGGGAGATGCAGGTGGGAAGCCTGAGCCCTTCTACAGTCTCATTCCCAAAAGAATCGCCGGGCACAACCCCCACCAGGCATCGCCTGCGTGGTGGACCATCTCGACACAACATCTTCTTGAGCACGCGGTTGGTGGGCAACTCCGGACCAAACCTGCGCTACGACACCGCCAGCGGTCCGATGAGTGCGCCTTGGAGCCGCGCATATGCTGATGGCGCTCTGACATGACCTCGGTTGATACAGGGTCCTTGTGTGCATCGCACACGGGGCCACCGACATACCGCACGAGAGGCGAGTGCACAACGAGCACTCGCCCCGTTTTCGGCGCTTGGTACGTGTGAGCCCCTACAGAATAGATGTGATCATCTGATCCGCATCAGAATGCTGTGGGTATGCCCTCGATGGGTTACTGGAGTCGTAGACGAGACGGATCGCTTTGCGATCGCGGCTGTTCCGGACGTCCACAGCATGCGAAGCATGTCTCGCAGCAGTTTTAAGCGACGGCAGATTCCACGTGAATGCGGCAGCAGCACCTCAGACTTGGTAAACTTCCAGCCAACCCAAAAATCTCAGGCACGCGCAGCAGAGATAATCCAATCAGTATCATCGCGAGCCTTTCCGTGTTCGGAAGCCGCACTCTGGTGACCATCGTCCTTCCGCACTTTCGCCTTCATGCCGACCACTCAAACCGTCAAAGAGACGGGAGCGTTTAGTGGTATGTTGATTGCCCTGGTAGATCAGGGTTATGTTTATGTATATATAGGATGGAAACCTAGTGTCGAAGCCCCTGTAAACACCTTTTCCTCACATCGGCTTCCTTGCAGTCAGGCGAGCTCCGCTTGTGGCCATCGTAGCTGCTACGGTGGCAGGATTCGGATTCTTCTGGTATCGGAAGGGCAAAAACGACCCGTCATTCCTCACCGAGAACGTCACACGGCATGGAGGTGAGCTGCCTGCTTGGCACGCACATTGGCTGCGGGAACGTGCTTCTCCTGTGATTGGGCGTTTCCTGCGTGCCGGCTAAACCCCATGTACTCATACTCGCCAGGTCTGGGGGAGGCTGAGCTCCATCCTTCCACTCTGAATGCTCGTGCGGCGAACTATGACGACAAAAGTGAGTGTCTTGGGTGCAAAATGTTTGGTTGCACCTACTTGTGTGCATTCCTTCCTATACAGCCTTTACCCCTGCTCAATTGCATGAGAATCTGATGAGGACTTGGGGGAGGACCATCGTTTTCATGTGTCTGGCTTTTGCATTATTCTGGAGCTATATCGCCTCCCACTCACTTCCTCTCCCCGTGCGATCCTCAGAATTTGGCCGCAAAACTGCAGAGCGTGCGGGACTCTTGGAGGGAGACAGGTCTCTGCAGGCACGTTATAGTCATATTGTTGCAGTAATCTGGGAAGCATGCAGTTCATGTCCATTTCAAAGCACGAAGGTGCTCAATCGAGTCCCCCTCAACCACCTCACAGGGAATTTTCCCTGTCAAGCCCAAGGAAACTTGATGCTGAGGCTGGGCACCCAATCATGCTTTTGGTGGTTGCAGATAGCACACTAATCTGTGGTCCAATTGTGTTGTTGTATGGCAGGCATATGCCTCGTTACCTTTTTCGAGATGTCAAGCTTGCATGTCTCAGCAGCTGACCAGTCTGGACCATCAAAGAATCTGTCTCGCCTTCCCTTTTGCCTCTGGGATGTGCTTCTAAAATCCAAGCACGGGGACTGCATTTAGTATTCTATCAGGATAAATAGACCCTGCTACTACATATGGACTGTCCAGAAAGTGTCGTGCCAATATATCCTGTGCAGTGTATGTGGTGTTGGACCCATCATAATACTTGGGGGAGAAGGTTGTCGAACAGGGGTGGACGAGGGCCTCCTACTCCAACTGTGCCAGCGCTGTGAGGACACTTTGCAGCACATTTACCCACAACGTCCAATGGGTGCCTCCTTGGCAGTATATGGTATAGGGTGGCCGGATCGGCCCATCTGAAGTTGTAAGGGAGGGGATAGGATTGTTGGTATTTTTCTTAGCAAATGTCAAAATCCATGGACTCCGTGACCTCTGCACAGGCCGCCTCTCTCATAGTAAATCATGGCATCATGAGAATGCCCCCTGGCATCTCATTCACAAGGAGAGGCGCATGACCTTCCTGTTCAAGAACATTGCAACCCGCAACCCTCGTGACCACACTCTCCCTCCCAGCCCCCACACCTGCGCCCAGCTCAGACGTGCTCCCTGCCACAAAAGTCCCATCTGCGAACACCACAGGGTCGGCATACCCAGGGGTCACGCCCGGGGTGGGGGTCACATACGAGCCTATGGGACTGGAGGCCTGCACCGCGCTCGCAAAGGCAGCCATGGCATGCGGGGAACCCAGTCTGATGGCGGTGATGGCAGACCAGGGCCGACAAGCACCCGAGGCGGGGGTCACCCCATACCCAGCCCCCTGCATGACGGCTGCTGCGAGGCGTCCGCCCTTCAGCGCCTCGCCGGTCGTTTGGGGGGCGGCGTACAGGCCTGGGCCAGCATGGTTGCGAGGTGAGGGAAGGGGGTTGAGTAGACCCCGCGGCGACAAGACGCCTGACAGTTGCATGCCTCACGGAGTTTCCAAAGGTTTCAACATGATTTCCACGCGCAGCCAGGCTAGCCGCCGCTGGCAAAAGCCATGCAACCCACATGCACTACCCAGACCCCCAGCCAGGGTAGGCTTGTAGCGCGCTCTGCACCTCCTCCCACCCCTCCCAAAGACCCACCCTGAAACATGAGGCGCAGGGTCTCCCCGTTCACGGCGCCCGCCTCGCTCCCGATGCCAGGCGCCGTCAGCCTCGCCAGGGCGGCATCCACCAGGTGGCGCTTTCCGGCCACATAGCCCCCGCCAGGTACGAGCGTCCCCCCCGGGTTCTTGATGAGCGACCCCATGCAGAGATCGGCCCCCACCTGGGAAAAAGAAAATGGAGGTTGGGAGCTGAACACACCATGTGCACAATCGCCTGTGGAACAGCCGGTGGTACGCTGGCCTGCTATACAGTTCCAGCCTCCACGACCCAGACAGGGCATGCAAAACCCTTCCACACTCTCCCAGGCCCCACCGCTCCGGGCTCAGCGGTGTCGGTGAATTCTCCATAGCAGTTGTCCACCGCCACGACAACGCGAGGGCTCTGGGCCTTGATGACTTGCACAGCTCGCCGGATGTCCTCCAGGCTGAGGGTGGGGCGGTCCGCATAGCCGCACGAGCGCTGCAGGAGGGCCATGCGTGTCTCTGCACCGGTTGGCGGAGGCTGGTGACGTGGCTGGACGTTGATCGCATGATCCCGGGGAAGCTTGCTTGGTATACCTGCTCTCCTGCCTGCTCGATGCCACCCCGGGGCCCCACCCCTGGCAGCAGCGATACTTGGTGGCTCTCCAAAGTTTCCCACCTGGCTTCACGGCGGTGGCAAGCGCGCCCCAGTCTATGGCGCCGCTGCCGGGCGCCAGTGGGAGGACCCGGTACCCGACCCCATGCTCGGCGAGCGAACCGGAGCCAGGGGTGCCGCGAACGCCGATCACCTCTTCCAGCGTGTCATATGGACTGGCGAGGGGTGTGGGCGATGGGTGTCTGCCTGGGTTCATGGGTGAATGCATGCTGGGATCCTGGCAGTGCACCCAACAAAATGGCAAGTGCAACACATCCGTGGGCAAAAGCCTGTGTGCCTCGTCTGATTCCATTTCCGTCCAGCAGGCAAACCCTCACGATCTCCTGACAGCCCGGGCCCGCCACACCTTCCGGCCACAGAAAGGAGCTCGTCGCCAGGCCTCAAGACGCCAAACAGGGCGCAGGCAATGGCGTGCGTGCCCGAAACAAACTGGATCCTCACCGCCGCAGCCTCCATGCCCATCACATCAGCCATGATCTGACGCAGGCCAGTGCAGGCCAGAAGGGAGGGTGGGTTGCAGCAAGTGGAGTTCCAGGCACAAGCCAATGCCCAGCCTGCTCGGACTGCCTCGGGACATTCCCTCCTGAATTCACGGGCCCCACCTGGTCTAGGGCACCCCGGCCCAGATCGCCATGACCATAGCCTGTGGAGCCCAGGAAGTGGTGGGGCCCAATCCTGGCGGTCGCAAAGGCGCGCTGCGTGCGCGCCACATTTGCAGCAATGAGGCGGTCGATCTCGCTGAAGACGGGTTGCAGCTCCTCCGCGCATGCCCAGATCTGTAGTGGAGGAGAGTGGCTGGTGAACAGCCTACCTCTTGACGAGGATGACGAACAAGCGCTGTACCAAGGTTCAATCCAATGGAATGCAGCCACGAAAAGACCATGCAGCACCATCCGGCAAGACAAACCGTTTTAAGTGGGCTCTGGCGCGGGTCTTGTGTCTTGGCTTTCTTGGGGTGCAGCCCGGTGGGTGCCTCATGAACTTGATGCTGGGGCGGCGCACCCATCCACGCCGACCGATTGGCCGCTCTGCCCTCGCCTCGGCGCACATGGAGGTCATTAAGACGTCCATTCCTGGAGTTATGGCTGCTCTTTGACGAGAACCATATTGTTTGCGGAGGTTTTAGACTACTAGTACCGGTGAACATCCCCCAGACTGAGGATCGTTGCCCTAGTATTCGACTTGTACGCAGTGGATTGACCGCGTGCTATCGAGAGTACGACATTGAATGTAGTTCAATTATTTATAGATTGAAGACGGGTGCACTCCGGCAGAATTAGCGGGTCTTCAGAACCCACCGTGCCGGACAAACTCCCGGCATGCGTCGGATGGACGACGGGGTGGGATAGCGTGGCGCCCGAATCTCTCCCCAACACTCCCCTTCCCTTTCCAACCCAGCCCCGACACGCTCCTCGGACAACTGGCATTGCTACATTCCTTGGGGCGGTCAGTGTAGGGCGTAGCACCTGCTGGCGGGTGGTCCAGGGCCCAAGACGCCCAACCGGCATCACGAGCGCACATCCACGCCGAGCGCGAGCTTGGTTTCCTCAAAGACAAACCAGCTGATGCCCGCGGCGGGGGCAAGCTTGCAGAGATTCGTCCCCGCTCCCTGTGTGAGGAGGTGTGGTAGAGGAGTGGGAATTATCTGCATGCCCTGGTCGGGCCAGCGACGTGCATGGCCTGGCAGCACCGGCATGGAGGGCAAGTGGAGATGGCGGCCTGCACCCTGGCTCTCCACTGTACACATTACCAGGGTCAAAGTGCCAGCCCAGACCCCTCAAACACCCCTTGAAACTTTGCCTGCTGCCCCCCTGCTGCGCACCTTGTACAGCCCCCGGAAGCCCTCGTTGGCAAAGGTCCGCCGCAGCACGTCCATCATGCCGGTGTATCGCACCGCCTGCCCGCCTACCCCCTGGGCCTGCAGCCTCGTCCGCGTCAGTGCCAGCGGGTAGGACACGAACTGGGCCAGGGAGGAGGAAAGCATGCCCGCGCCGAGGATGACATGCGCGGGGGGGTGGTTGTCGTACTGCACGGAAGGACGCAGGGCAGCGATGGGGAGGAGGGCGGGGGGGGGGGGGGGGGATGTGTGCGGCACAGGGAATGCGGAGCGCTGTTGCATGCGTTCCTAGGACCGCGACGGGCGACGATACTCAGCCCCTTGCGCATCGCCGCAGGGGGAGCGGGGCTGGAGTGGCGACCGACTGCCTCAGCTGCACTCGTCTGCATGCCTCTGCTGGCTGCCCGACTAGGCTCCCTTCCTGACCATCGCCCATACGATCATACTCACCTACTCTCATCCACCCCCCTCCCGCCTCCCCCGATGAACAAACCCAACTCCTCCTCTCCCACCGCCCCCCACCTCGTCCAGCAGGCGTTCCTTGAGCAGCTCAAAGGCGGCAATGTCCACGCCGGCGTAGGGCAGGATGCCGATCATGGAGGGCACGATGCCGCGGTAGAAGGCGCGCACGCCCTCCTGGCGCAGCACTTTGCCAGCGCAGTCGAAGATGCCGCCGTAGGTGCCGCTGGGGCAGACCGCCAGCCGGGTGCGCACCAGCTCCAGGGGGTAGATGAGGGCCTGTTGTTGGGGAGGGTTGCAAGACTTTCTATTGTGGGAGGTGGCGTGGAGGAGGGGTCTGGGGTTGGTGCAGGGCCAAGGACACTCCGCTCCAGCTGAATAGGGCCATCCCATCTCACCCTGGCCCCTCATCCTTCTCCTCACCCCCCCCGACCCCACACCTGAGCTGAGCCCCCCGCCAACGCCCCCGCCAGCATGCGCTGAGCTGGCGTTATGTCGTCGGGGTCGGACACCACAGCATGCTTAAGCACATCGTTCAGCGTCAGCTTAATTGCCGTCTCCGGCGCAATCTTCACCACATTGGTGCCGTTACCCCGGAAGAAGGCCGACATGGTGCCTGGGAACGCAGGGGAAGAAATTTCCAATGAGCATAGTGGAGATCAGGAACGTGCGCAATCAAGAGACACGCATTGCAGCCCCAAGCGGCGAGGGAGGCTCCGCTGGCCGTGCCACAGCACACAGGCACACCCGACCGCGCTGGAATGCGCCCACCTCCCCACAACGCACACCTTCAGCCGCCATCTGCTTGAAGCCCTGCCGCATGGTCATGGGTGTTCTGCCCTCCTGGATCTGCAGCAGCATCTTCAGCCGGTCTATCGGGGCAGTGGCGGTCCTGCTCAGTGCCCCGGCAATGCCTGCATGGCATGGGGTGGGGTTTGGGGCCATGATATCTAGCAAGCCTGGCAGATGCAGGGCACACAGAGCGCAGGCGCTGCAGGCTGGGGCTGCACTTGTCTGGGCAACAGCACCCCAGGGCAGCAGCATGCCAGGGCCAATTTGCATACAAATGTGGCTGCCATCGAGGGAATGGGGGTCTGCAAGCAGCGCCCCCTCCCCACTTCTCCCGCAGAACCTCACTCCTGTACACGCCCACACGGCATCTCCCCGCACCTCCAGACACGAGCAGCTTGGCTGTGCGAGCCGGGTCGACCACGTACTCGTCCACCTCCTCCTCCTGCTCCTCCAGCCTCCCCCCACTGCGCTCCCAGGCCGCCTGGGAGGCCGCGGCCTCCATGGCGGCCTGGGCTGCTATCAGCGCTGCAGGCTGCAGGGGGAAGGTGGGGGGGTGGGGCCCACGCCACCCCGCCCCCCATGGCACACTCCAGGCGGGGGTTGGGCGCAGGTGCAGATGCCGCCCGCTCGTGGATGCCTCCGGGGGTGGAGAAGTGCCCGGGGGTGTCGTGGCGTCCGTGCTGGAACCAGGGGTACCGAGGCCTGGTGCAGGCTCGATTCGAGGATCAGCGCCCCAGATTCATAATAAATGGGATGGCATGCTGGAGGCAGCCGGCACGCACTTTGCTGTCTTCGCGCTTGTTGCGACACGGGGGGTCTGGGCGCTAGAACCTCACACACCGATGCCAATCAAACAAACCAGTTCAGACTTGAAACAAGTATGTGATAGATGGTCACATTCAGGGTCGAGGTTTCGGGCTCTGAAAAGTATGGGACCCTGACATTACCAACGTTATTTTCGAGCACCTAACGGAGGGAGGGTACTGCAGTCCCCAGCAGCTCTATACTGCCTAATGCAACCTCATCAGAATTCACACTTGCAATTTCAGGGATGGGACACATCTTTGCATTAGAATGGTTCTTCACACTGATTTTGGCTGGAGTTGAATGGTGTCTGGAAGCCAGGATCATCTGCACTGATTCTTCTGACTTGTATGCTGCGGAATCACTTGCTGGCCAGGGGTTGTTGGGAGTACCCAAGCAGCTTTTCACATAGTGTTGTGAACGTACTCAGACTTGTAAATATGAGTGTCAGCAGCGCATTGACTATGATATTGAGTCGCCTACTTGCTAGATTCACTGACTGCACCCAACATCTTGTTGCCACGTCGGATGTCAAACATGTGTTCAAAACACCATAATATGAAAATGGCTCGGCAGACTCGCGCGACGGCGTCCCTGCCGCATGCTCCAGCTCTTCGGGACCCTCGATTTGAGTGATTGACTTGGCCTCTGTGGTCTACTGGTATTCCTCTGGTGCCCGGGGATGACGCACGGCGGACCATGACACGGCACCCCCCCCCGACGCTGCTTTCACTTCGCGATGCTTAGGGGCCAACGGGGTTCCGCATCTCCGCTCCTCCCTACGCGAGTCGATAGCAGGGCGCCAGGACGCAGAGCGAGAGGGAGTTCGATACGATGGCCGGTCCTTCTCATCGCCCTGTTTGGCCTCGGGCTCCTGGGCCTCAGGCATCAAGTGCGCGTCATGCCGCTCAAAACTTCATATACCAGCTGCCTTGTGGCCGACATGTCTGTGACTGCACGGATCAAAGGGAGTCAGCAATTCTGGGTTGGGGAGGGAGGGTGTCATGGTTGACAGCATGTATTCATCGATCTGGCACCCCTCCCATGCAGAGTCAGCTCTCCTCGGCTTCAGGAGGGCATTTTGCCACGAGCCAGGTGGGGCAGGATGTTTGATCCTGATGGGATGAGTCACCGTGCTGCGCTCCGTCCCTCACCAGTCCCACCGACTTACCTGTGCGTCCGGAGACGAGCATAATCTGCTCAGTCACCCTGCCAACCCCATTTCCACCCACACCTCAGCAAGCTGACACTCAGGCAGCTGTTCTCGAGCAGCCCTGCCATGGAGCAGGCTGCCCTGAGCTTGTCCAGGGGGCCCAAGACACCCCTCCCACCCGACAGCTGATTGCCGCAGTGCGGGAGGCTGCCGGAATGCTCCTGCACCCGCCAGCTATCCCTTCCCCCCCGCCCCCCAAGCACCCCACCCCCATCCATGCCCCCCCCTACAACGCGGGTCTGGTGGCGGGAGTGGCAGCGCTGATCAACGAGGCCGATGCCGGTGCGCAACAGGGAGTTGCTCAATCTATCGGCTTCGTTTGGTCCGTCTGGCTCCAGCGCAGACCACCATGTCCCAACCCTCTCGCACAGCTGCGTGGCCGGTTCTAGCAATTTTGCTTCCCTGCACAATCACGGCCCTGCACTTGGGCCGCAATGAAGGAACCCCCCCGTGTGCATCCGCCCTTGCAGTGGTGCGGCAGCGGGACATCGACACCGACATTGACGCCACGGCGCGGCGCCTCGCCGCCGACGCCGCCGCCCTGGACCTCACCACCTCCGATCAGGTGAGCGGGGCGAGGTGACACTTCCGCCGGCAGCCATCCCAGACTCCTGCAGATGTGCGCTGCGGCAGCGCGGCGGGCGATCTTGGTGCTGCCAAGCATGCCGCGCATCACTCCCATTCTGAGACCTTGCCAGTGGCGGTGCTGCGGACACAGCCGTCAACCCCCTCGACAACCCCCTCCCCATGCACGCGCTTCAGGAAGAGGCGCTGGGCGAGGCAGGGCCCGGGGGCCTCCCCCTCGACCCGGTCTGCATCTCCCCCGCGGAGTGCGGCCCGCACGGCGCCTGCGAGGCGGGGCGGTGCCGCTGTGTGGTGCTGTACACCGGGGTCGTGTGCGGGCACGCCCTGGTGCTCAGCCCCGCGCTGCTCGCGCCGGGGCTGCCCCGCTTCGTGCCCGCCTACGAGGGCGAGCTGATGCTGCACGCGCAGACGCGGCACGCCGACATCCGCGTGCTGCGCCCCGGCCCCACGCTCGAGTGGGACCTGCTGGCCGACGCGGCCGAGACGGCGGCGCTGAACCGCATCCTCCCGCCCTCCGACCTGGTGTTCAAGGTGCAGGGGTGTGTCTGTTTGGTGGAGGGGTTGGGGTTGGGGGGGAAACATGAGGTGGGGAGGGTATTTTGTGCTGGAGAATTGCCCTGGCGCGGAGGACCCTTCATTCCTGGGCCTCCCCCAGCCAGGACAGCTCGCCAGGCCGCCCTCCCCTTCGCCCGGCGGCGTCGCCGAATCTCCTTCCCTTCTCCGACATCTCCACAAACCCCGGGAGCCCTTTGAATCCCCCAAGACTTCCGTATCTCCAATCCCCGAACACCCTCTGTTCAATCACCACCGTCTCATCCCCCTTTCCCCCCCATTCAAAAACAAACTGCCCATGTTTGCAGAGCAAGGCGTACCCGACCTGCGCGGTGGTGGGCTCCTCCGGCTCCCTCCTCCTGCGCCGCCTGGGCCCCGCCATCGACGCCCATGTGCTGGTCCTGCGCCTGGGCGCCACGCCCAGCGCAGGGCACGAGGCCTCGCTGGGGTCCAAGACCAACCTGCGCCTGACCGACGAGCGCGACTGGGCCTGGCGCGAGCGGCCGGAGGACCTGGCCCTGGTGCGCAGCGCCAGCCGCGCCACTGTCACGGGCCTGCTGGCCAACGCGGCCTCGCCCGCGCCGGCCGCCATCGTCGCGCTCGACCCGGGCTTTGAGTCCTGGCTGGCCGAGGGGCTGGGCTTCGCGGCCGACCTGGAGCTGGCGGGGACGCTGCTGGCGCTGCAGACCTGCCGCGCCGTGACGCTGTACGGCCTGGCGCCGCAGGGGCCGGCGCAGGGCGTGCCGGAGGCGTACCACGAGCCTTGCAAGCCGGCGGTGGGCACGTCGGGCGACCCGCCGGGCGCCGCCGCGGCGCGCTGGGCGGCGCTCCAGGCCCTGGCTCGCGTGGGCCTGGTGGCCTGGGGCGAGCCCTGCGTGGAGGAGTGCATGGCCGCACCGGCCGCTTGCGATACATGTCGAGCGGCGCTGGGCATCGTGCCGAAGCCCGTCGACGCCTGGTGCGAGTCGGCGCGGGCGGCAGGGCGCCCGCCGGCGGAGGAGGCACCGGGCGGTGGCGCGGCGGGGGGGGACCGAGGCAATGGCACCGCCGTGGGGAAGGAGAGTGCAGCGGCAGGGTCGGGGCAGGGCGCAGCGGCCAAGACGGAGCACAACAGCACGGCGGCGGCGACGACCACCCGGCGATGACGTCGTGGGGCGCCAGACGCTGGCGGCGGCGTTTCGAGTGTGCAGCCATGGCGCTGGCTTGTTGAGAGCCCGGCATCGATGTGGGCCCAGCAATGCATGGGTCGCATGAGTCTGCGTGGCACGTGCAAGCCGGAGCCCGAGTGTGTTCGCCGCTTGCGCTTCAAGGACCGCGAGAGCCCGCCTCAGAACCTTTTAAAACCCATTCCCAATCCCCTGTCGCACGCTGTCGAAGACAGGGCCATGCGAAGGGCAACGGCCCGGGCCACGCCCACCGAGGGTGTGTGCGACGTTGTTACAGAAGAGTCAGCAAAGAGAATCTACAGCGATTTCAATGCAGCGAGCGTCCTGCCCGCCGCCCTTCCCACCTCCGGTCGTCAGAACAAGTTCAGGGCGGTGGCCGCGGCGAAGACGAGGAACAGGATGCCGCTGGTGTACCCCACCGTCTTCTCGCTGACGTGGCGCGACAGCAGGGCGCCGGCGGTGACCGCGATCAGCGTAGCCGCCGCGTGCCCGGCCACCGCGCCGCCGGCCACGCCCCAGGGAGCCTGGACCGCGCCCAGAGCGATGGTGGCCAGCATGGACCTGTCACCCCACTCCGCCACGAAGATGAGGCTGGCCACCTCCAGGATGCCGCGCCAGGAGCCGCGCGCACTGATCTTGCCGGTCTGCACCGCCACGTCCACTGCGATGAAGAGTGTGTGTGTGGGTGGGGGGGGGGGGATGGATGAGGGGGTTACGATAGTCGATGCAGTGCAGGGGTGATGTCTTTTAAAACGCAGGGGGGTGATTCCCGGTGCCGAGAGGTTGGCACCAGGAGGAATGCACAAGGTCTATAGACCCTCCGCAGCCGTGCTTGGGCCACAAACTGGAACCCCCCCCCCTAGTCTCCCCACCGAATCACACGCACGCGACTTCTCTGCATCCTTCTCCTCGTCCGCCCGCTTCTCCTCCGACTGCCAGGCGTCCAGCAGGGTACGGATGCCAAAGAAAGCGAGGAGCGCGGCGCCCAACCATTGGCCCAGGAACTCCGTGGTCTCGATGCTGGCGGGCACGCGCTTCACCACATACCCAATGCCCACAGAAATCGCTGTCATCAGGGACAGGGCCAGGAGGGAGCCTGAGGGGGGGTTGGAGGAGCAGGGGGTTGGGTATTGGGCGGCTGGAGGATGAGCGTGCGGTTTTTAAAGGTGACTATAAGATCCCAGGGTGTATAGAGCTGGTCACGTGAGCATGATGCAGAACCAGCAGCATGCATTAATACCTTGGTGCGTTGCTATGTGGCAGACACAGGCGCCATCTGGGGTGGCCAGCCTCCCCCCCCCCCCCACACACACAACACTCACCCACAAAGCTGATGGCCTTGCCGAGGCGCATGGCCAGCATGGCGGCAATGAAAAAGGTCTTGTCTCCCAGCTCTGAGGTGAAGATGAGACTGAAGGCCGCCAGGAAGCCGGAGCGGGCAAAGCCTGACCGAGCCAGCGCAGTACGCGTGGCCTCCAGCCAGGCGCTCCCCACCTCCGACTGAAACAGCCATCGGTAACCCACCACGCCCAATGCCCCCAGCACCAGGAGAGCAACGACGCCCGGCAGGTTGCGGGTGGGCAGCTCGGCGTCGCTCGCAGAGCTCGAGGGTCCAGACCCAGACAAGGTGGCTCGGGTGTGGATATGGGTGCCACGCGGCGAGGCCCATGCGCTGCTCTTCACGCCCTGGGAGGCAGCCTTACGACTTCTAGATACTGCAAAGGTCAGAAAGGGGGTACAAGACGGTTTCAGAAGGGCAGAAGGGGGCCATTACTCCGGTGTCAAGTCTTTCCACAACCCTGCACAGCCCCCTCCAGAGTGGCAACTCACCCTTGTCCGGCAGCAGCGCTGCTCTTCGGCAAACCACGAAGCTGCTTCGGAATGGTAGTCTTGTGAGAGGTGCGTTACGTTGTGTGAGACTATGCCTCACGCATGGTGTGCTGTGGAAGACCGCGAGCGCCATGGCCCCTAGCAGAGCGATACTGAGTCAGGGCCAGTGATATGCCGCAACGACTCGTCCTCGCCAGAGCGACGTATTCTCGGTCAACTTCTCTCCTAAGATCCTTTGTAACGCCGCTGTATGGACTGAACGACAACACTGCGAAAACTGCGGTGGCTGAGCTCGAGTACATGAGAGGCCGTCGAGGTTTTGAATGGCAGCTTATCCATGCTCGAAACCCTTGGCGCTGGACCGACCGCATCACATGCTGCCAGGTGGATTTCCGGTATATATGGCAAATGCAAACTATTCAACGATATATAATAAAACTTTGAATCGAGTAATTGAGCACATAGGTTTGCAGCGACCCTACGCAACTTTTCACTTAATACCGACGGATTAAGACGGGAGCCCACGAGCCTCTTTGGTCGAGTTCCCGCTTTTGCCAATCTACTGCACATTAAAATCCTGTACATCTGAGCGCGCTCTGTCTACATAGCCACACCAGGTATCTCCTCGCCGAGCACCTCGTGAATGGTCACAGTCTGGCGCTCCACCCTCTCCATCCCACCATCGAATGTGTTCTGTGCGAGCCACTCGCCGCGGTGCATTCCTGGCAGGTGGATAGAAAGCGATCGTAAAAGGTCTCGGCCACGCTGGCTCAAGCCTGCGTGGGATGTGGCTGCTGCAAGCCCTGGGCCGCCTGGCCTGCAGGCTGCGCAGCAGGCACCCGCCATGCCCCCTTCAGCAACAACACATCATCCCGCCCCCGCCCTGTCCAATGATGCAAGCCTGCTGCAAGGCTGCGAGCCGGGGCCCCGGCTCAGGGTCGCTGCCCTACTGAGTGGGGGCGTGGACAGCAGCGTGGCCCTGGCTCTCACCCAGCGAGCCGGCCATGAAGTCCACGCCTTCTACCTCCAGATATGGTTCCAGGAGGACTTTAGGAACACCTGGGCGTCCTGCCCCTGGGAGGAGGACCTGGAGCAGTGCCGGGAGGTGGGCAGCGGATGGACACGTCGTGTGAAGCTTGGGCGGCTGTGCTTGCCATTCGGGCAGCCCGGGGGGGTGCAGGTCTGAGGAGTGCCATGTGCCCCCTGGCACCCGGCCCAATGTCCCCACTGTTCCCCCTTTCCCACCACAGGTGTGCCGGGCCCTGGGCGACATCCCGTTGCATGTGGTCCCCCTCACCGCCGAGTATTGGGCCCTGGTGGTAGAGGAGTGCATCGCCGGGGTCAGGCGCGGGCGCACGCCCAATCCCGACATGCTCTGCAACTCCAGGGTCAAGTTTGGGGCGTTCCACGCCTGGCTGGCACGCCAGGAGCCCGCCTTCGACCGCATCGCCTCGGGGCACTACGCACGAGTGGAGCGGGGCGGTGCAGGCGGTACGGGCGAGGCCACACCGCACCTGGCCACCTCGCCCGATGCGGTGAAAGACCAGACCTACTTCCTGTCTCGCCTGAGCGGCGAGCAGCTGGCACGGTGCATGTTTCCCCTGGGCCACCTCCAGAAGACTCAGGTGTGTGAGTGTGTGTGTGTGTTTGTTGTCGGGTCTGCGCGGGATCGTTCGAGTGAATGGAGGCTTGACGCAGCTGCGGCAGCGCTCAGCGTAAGAATGCATCTGCGCGTACGTGCCCGCGCATCCCTGAAGCTGCGTTGGTCCCTCTTTTGCGATGCTCACCCTCCGCACCCGGCGGCTCCTGCTCCTGTCAGCGGCCCATCCCACTCCGCCACCCTTCCCCCCATGCACACCAGGTGCGCCAGCTGGCGGCAGAGCTACAGCTGCCGAACGCGGCGCGACGCGAGTCCCAGGGCCTCTGCTTCCTGGGCCACGTCCGGTTCGACGAGTTCATCCGCGAGCATCTGGGCGACTGGCCCGGGCCCATCGTGGAGGAGGAAAGCGACACGGTGCTGGGCTACCATCGCGGCTTTTGGTTCCACACCCTGGGTCAGCGGAAAGGCGTGCCACTGCATGGCGGACCCTGGTGAGCTCCGCTGTGTGGGCATGCGGGGTGTTTGCTGATTGAGGCTGCAAATGTGCCATGTGCTTGGTAAATGTCCTGAGCTTCTTGGTCAGGATAAAGATGCTGTCTCCCCACCCTTCATCCACCACCCACCAGGTATGTCACCCGCAAGGACATCGAGCTGAACATTGTGTATGTGTCGCGGGCATACCACGAGGCCCCCAGGCCGGATCGATCTACCTTCCGTGTGTCCCAGCTGCAATGGCACCGGCGGCCCGAGGCCGCCAACCCCGACGCTGCGCTGCAGCTGAGGTGCAAGGCCCGGCACGGCCCGGACAGCGTGGCGTGCACTCTGGAGATGGCCGATGCTGACTCAGCATCGGGCGTCGTCACCCTGGCCACGCCCGATCAGGGCCTGGCCCCAGGGCAGTTTGCCGTGTTCTACAAGGATGAAATCTGCTGTGGGTCGGGGGTCATAGAGGGCGGATTGTAGTGGGAAAGTGCCTTGATCGTGTAAAATGAATCTCCAGCCAAGGTGCGTAAGTCCACGGTGCTGGCGATAGGATCGCATTCAACCCCATAGGGCAGCCCTCTTTGATGACTGCGATGTCTGGACACAGCGATGGATTTTGGCCGTTTGGCATAGAAATCTCTTTGCCGTCCCGTATTTACCAATCCCTGGCCATCGCCGAGGCATGTCCTGTGCCCGGGTGGCAGCAAGTCGACTGCCCGTATCCCACTTGGTGTCACTCCAGAGTGGCTGTAGATACAGCTTGCACACTCGCACCCGTCGGGATGCTCGTAGTACAGGCCGAAATTGCAGTGTGATGTGCGCTCTCATCGAGGATCAGGGCCCTGGAAATCAGGGTGAGACACCTCCCGCAACTCCTACCCTTGCCCCGTCGAGGCTGCGGACCCACCAGCTCGCAGGAACCGCGGCTGGATACAGGGAGCAGGCTGTTGCCCACGGCATACCCAGCAGGAAGCATGGGCTGTTTGCGGACGACGATGCCCTGCTGCTTGAGCTCTGCGCCTCCCCGGACATGGCGGCATTCGAGAAGCACCTGCCGGGGGAGGCGGGTCCCTATCAGCCCCTTCCACGCGGCGGCTGGGTGACGGGAGACGAGGCTGCTGCGCGGGGCATCGACCTACGCATGTTCTATAGGACACCAGCCCCGGGGGATGAGCACGGATCTCTGGAGGGCGTGGTACGTCTCGGGGATGGCGCCAGCATCGGCATCGGGTTCTGGGTGTCGGCCCATGGCGGCGCGGTCGAGTCCGTGTTGGACGAGGCCACCGCTGAGCTGGCCAAGTGCGAATTCACCCCCGTGCTGGCCACCGTCGAGGCGAACTTCCGGATCAAAAAGGCGGTGCCCCTCCACACGACGCTGAGGGTGGAGTGCAGGTGGGGATTGTGTGCAGGTGCTTGTTGGTTGCCTGACACAGCATCGATCGCTTCCCCACTTCAATTCTTCCCCTCTGTCCCCGCTCCAATCCATCCTGCAGGGTGGTAAAGATGCGTGGCATTCGATGCTGGGTGGATGGCCGCCTGACCTCTCCAGATCGCAGCGTGGTGTATGCCGAGTGTGCCGCCCAGCTCGTCAACATAAGCAGCTGGCTCTGATGGCATCTCCTGTGCATCCTGCTGCATCTTGCCGTTTGTGCAGTGTTACATTCCGCCATGTCCTTGCCGGCCTTCATGACCATGCATCAGTTGGCAACAGCCATGAGCTTGAGGGAGCGGGCGTGCAGCAAGTCCACTGCCCGCCCGATGTTCTCAAAGGCCGCCAGGGCAGGGGGGAAGACCTCGTCCTCGGTGCCCTCCTCCCACACCTCCAGCAGGCCGGCCCCCTGATCCAGCGTGCCTGGCGAGGGGTAAAAAGGAGGTGGTTGTGGGAGATCGGTTGAGCCTCTGCGCAGAGGGCGTGCTCTCCCCTGGGCCCGGCCTTCGTGCCAGGGCCTGATCCTGCATGTTCTTCAGGTCACCCTGATTCCTATCCCACCCACCACATACACTCATCTTGACCCCACCCCACCCACTTCCTTCAAGCCAACCCGCCCTGAACCCCACCACCAACCTGCGAGCTGCTTGTCCAGGATCATCTGGGAAAGCTTGGCCTCGATGGTGGGCAGGGGCAGGTCGATGAGCCTGGCGATGTGGGCCACCTCCACGCGCGAGAAGGGCTCGATCAGGCGCAGCAGGTTCTTCTCCAGCAGCGTGCTGTACAGCTGGGCAAGGTGGGTGGATACGTTCACATCCTCCGTCAGCTGCTCCGGGTACTCCTGCGCGGGCGTGTTCAGGATGGGGAATGAGGTTGTTGGTTTGTGGGCCTCGGTGCCAACGCGGGTCTCATGACTGAAGATGCAGGCACACACCATCCACCACCATCAAGGATCCGGCGGCTCCTCGGACACCCCCCCCCCCCTTCCCTGTAGGGCAAGTCCTCTCCCATGCCCAGCCACCCGGTGCTCACCTCGAGGACCGCCTGGAAGTCGTGCAGGCTGCGGGAATCGTAAGCCTCAGCCACGGCGCGCATGGAGGCCACCTCGCGACTCTCCGTCGATGTGGCGCCGGTCTTGCTGTTGATGATGGCCGGCACCTCCGCGACGTCTCCCTTCATGATCTGCGGCGATGTGGGAGGAGGATGGGTTGTGGGGAGGAGGGCGGGGTGTGGGGAGGCGGGGGAAGGATGGTGCTGGGGAGTGAGAACACACTCAGGGCCAGGGCCTGCAAGGGGTCGGGGCTGACAAATAGAGCCCCTCCTTCTAGTCAGCAGCATGCCTCCGCCTCTCTGTCCAGGCAGGCAAGAAGGGTACCAACGGTCCCCCTCTCCCATGACCATGCACGCATCAGTACCTTCGCCAGGAGCATGAGCTTGAGCAGGGGCAGGGCGCGTGGGGAGGAAAGGGCCGCGTACTGCTCGTACGCCTCATAGTAGTAGCTGTAGGCGGTGGTGAAGTCGCCCTCCTCTGTGAAAGGAAGAGGGGGGGGGCAGAGGCTGGTGGATGTGGGCTCTGACGGTTGGATGGCTTTCGCTTCCTCTGCACAAAGCGAATGCCCTCGACCAGCGAGCGACCAACTTCCCCTGCCATTGCTGCAAGCAAGGCGCCCCACCAACCGCCTGTTGCACCCACATCCCCACATTGCCACACAAAGTCCATGGGCCCTTACTCCATGGATGCATGCATGCACTACCGTACACGCCCTGCAAACACACACTCCATCCTCACCAGAGTGCAGGAGGCCGCTCTGCGTGTCGAGGTCGGCTTGCGTGGAGGGGGGCACGTAGATGGCGTTGGCCGCAGCCCGGCCAGCCGTCAGGGACGCCCGGCTCTTGGGCAGGTTCTTCAGTGCATGGTGGGCCTATTGCCATGGTGGAAAGGAGGTAATGGGGGGAGAGGTGTTGCTGGACTCGTCGAGTGCAATGGGGCCCAGAGATCACGCACCAGCTGTGCCAGCGTGTGAGAAGCATGCACACTCGCTGTTCATCACAGGATCATCGTCATTGAACCCATGTACAGACCCCCAGCATCAACACGCATGCATGCATGCAAGCGTGTTGGTACCTGGCTTTCCAGGAGGTAGATGTCCACCAGCAGGAGTTTATCATCCAGCTTCTTCACCTCCGACAAGAGCTTGCTCAGCAGGGACAGGGCAGCGGGGTAGTCCTTGATCTCCAGCAGCAAGCCTGCCAGCCTGCATCATTAATGGGGGAGGAATCAGTGACACGTGCCTCATGGTTCACCCATCAGAGCCTCATGGCCCAGAGACACACACACTCACTCACACACACCATCCAATGCCCGGCCCTGGCCACCCGCTCGCCAAGCAGCGGACCTGGTCTCCAGCCGTTGCCGCAGGAAGGATCGCTTCTCAGCCGCAGCCCACTCCACCTGGGCTCTGCACACCTCCAGCTGCATAAGTGGAGGATCAGGGGAGACACACCTGTCGGGCGCACCCCGCTACGCCGCAAAGTTGCACAGGGAGCTTTGCCACATCCTCGGACTCACCAGGCGCTGCGTCGAGTTGGGCACTCGGGAGATGGCATCGATGACTGTGCGAATGATCTTGGCGGTCTTGGCCTTGGGGATGACAGCGAATAGCGGGCGCAAGTCCAGGAGCAGACTGCTGAGAGCATCTGCATCTTTCGAGGAGACCAAGACCTCGCACAGGCGGGTGAGGGCGCTCTCCTTGACCTTTACACTCTCTCCATCGTTGGGACCTTCGCCCGTCAACAGCGCCCGCAGCTGCTGCGCTGAATCACTGGAGGCACCATCGATAGCCTCCAGCCTAGTCTGCAGGGCAGACGCCATTGGAGCAGTAGTTTGGATTGCCAAGGCAACAGCAGTCGCAAGTTTCACGGCCGAGGTGGACCCTCCAGGGCAAGCAGACTGATCCGGCACCCTGCGATGATGCACTCAAAGCCTGAGCAGCGAAGGAATGATCGCCTGAAAGGAGGATGACGATTCACTCTGGAGCAGCGATGACGCATGCCGTGTCTGGAGCACCACCCAGCCCGGATCGAGATCCTCGGGCCAGGCAGCACATTCACCGAATTCCTTCCCAGCGTGTGTCGTGATCGCCACCCAGCCTCCTGTACACTTCTCAGTAGTCCTTGTTTTCTTTGCAAATCCATCGAGTGCACGGCGCGATACTTGAGTGACTCCTTTTCCCCTTGAGCACTGGTTCCGACAACGCTGGCAGGCGGTTGAAAACCCGGACACACTGGTACCCCGACTCCCTCCCCAGGCTTGAGTTCCCAGGTTATCAAGTGAGTTGTGAGAGTGTGTGTGAGCAGCCTGCTGGCAACTGCATGCGAGGCGCGCCTCCCCTCAACCTGCTGCCGGCCCACCGCAGTGGGGGGCTGTGCCTCCGCTGAGCGTGGAGCTGCTGCCGACGGGGCGGAGCAGGTGGCCAGCAAACCAGGGCATCACAGATTAGAGGTTCCCGTGCCCTCCCCGGCCTCTCCCAACCCCGTCGCGAACAAGGTCGCGAGCTTCCCTGCCGCTCGACTTGACGGCCAGGCCGCGGCTTCCCCCCACAACGGGGATGTGGCTCTGCACAAGGTGCCCAGCCACGATTTTTTCCACCGGAAGTCCCAGGTGAGCGTTGCCCGGGGATGGGAGGCGGTTTATGCTGGAGGCAGGGATCACAGTGCTGATGGTATGGCGCTGCGGCGTGCCTGCTGCTCCGCCATCATGCCCACCGCATGTCGGCCAGGCTGGACGCCCTCTGCCACCCCCTTGCCGCGCCCCTCGTCGAATCCATGCCGGGCCGCCTGGGCCAGCATCTAACCCTGTGCCTGCCGGTCCCCTCACCGGCCCCGTCCCCGCCGGTCCCCCCAAACCAAAATCCAGGAGCTGAGCATGGCGCACTTGGTGCGCCATCCCCGCATCCACGCCTTTGACAACGTGGAGGGCCGATTCGGGTTGGAGTCCGGGTACGAGGCAGTGCGCCTGCTGGGCCGTGGCGGCACGGGCCAGACCTGGCTCTGTCGGCGGCGCGGGACGGGGGAGGAGGTGGCACTCAAGCTGCAGCAGCGCCCCCTGCCCAAGCACACCCTGGACCTGACCTACAACGAGGTGGTGATCCAGGCGGAGGTGGGTTGGGGCTCGCCCCACATGTGCACGCTGCAGGAGGTGATGCTGACCCCCACCCACCTCGCCATGGTCCTGGACTACGAGGCGGGCGGGTCCTGCGCCGAGTACGTGGCGGCCCAGATCCCCAAGGTCGCCCGCCTGGAGCTGTGCGTGGACGAGGAGCGAGCGCGCTACATGTTCCGGCAGCTCATCGCAGGCGTGGAGTACCTGCACTCCCTGCACGTCGCCCACCGCGACATCAAGCTGGACAACAGCCTGATGGACGGCGCCGACCCCGCGCGCGTCAAGCTCTGCGACTTCCAGTTCGCCAAGTACTGGGGCAAGCCCGAGTACGCGCGCATGACCACCCACCTCGGGTGTGTGTTAGGGGGGGGATGACGAGGGAAGGGATCCACATTGAGGAGGCTCCGGAGCGGAGGGGGTGGTCGCTGGGCTGCACAGCCTGTGCGACGTATCGGAATGGGGTTCTTGAAGGCAGCAGGCCAGTGCTGATCAGCAGGGGACGTACGTGCCTGATCCTTGCTGATGCATCATCCCCTGCCAACCACCCCACCGCACCCCAGGACCGCCGTGTATATGGCGCCCGAGGTCATCACCAACCGGCAAAACCACAAGTCATACAACCCTGGTGAGGCGGCAGGGGGGCGGTCAGGGGTAGAGAGGGGGGATGGGAGTACTGGGCTGCAGCCGAGCGACGGCCGAGGTTGTCTTGGACCTGCGGGACGTTGGGGAATCTGGTGTCAGCATGGACCACTCGGTCGTCCCGGGCCGCAGGTCTCCCGGCGATGCATCCGTCAATCATTGCCCCACCCTTCCCTGCGCGCAGTGGAGGCCGACGTCTGGGCCTGCGGCATCTGGCTGGTGGCGCTGCTGGTGGGGGCCTTCCCGTTTGACAACCGGCCCGGCGTGGACGACCGCACCGCCGAGATGCAGATCCTGTGAGGAGACGGGAGGAGGAGGCCGGCTCACTTCTTCCAGTAGGGTTTCAGATGCCTGGATGCTGAGCCCAGGGCTGGTGCCGAGAGGATGTGGCCGTGTGCTGTGCAGATCCCACTTCTCACCCATACACAACCACCTCGACCTGTGCACTCACACAGCACACCAAGCTCCGGCCCGCACGCACCAACCATCTGTCGCCCCCCCC